TAAGAATTTCAGGTGGGACTGGCCTAAAGCATTTCATTGGGAAGGTACAGTAGGAATTCAGGACTCTATCTACTTTGCCTCCTGACATACATCCTTTGCTACATATGAATCTGTTGTAAGTAAAAAATAATAATAATAATAATAATAATAATTTCGGGTGGGAATCTGTCCATTTTTCTAATAAGGAAACTAAGGCTTCTCTGGATGTTTCACTTACTCCGAGCTACACATCTATAGTAAAAGTTGGGATTTCAGGTTGGGGTCTATTGACTTGAAAGTCCATGATCTTTCCACCAGAGCAAATTGTTACCGCATTCTGTCTTATTAAGGTTATTTCTGTATTTCTTAATTGCTTTAGTTGACTTTATCATACTCTTTTTGCTTTCCTCCAAAACATTTAATATAGTACTGGCTTAGAATAAACATTTAACAAATGATTGTTAAAGGGTGGAGAGACTGAGTCCTCATTTGATAAGCCATTAGTCCAACCCAGTTTGGTACAATAATTTGATAGTGCTCCAGTGTATGATGCAAGCTACAAAAGAACTCAACCTTTTTATTTCTTACAGCCACTGTGTCAAACTCCCAGCAGGCTTACCAGGAAGCATTTGAAATTAGTAAGAAAGAAATGCAGCCTACACACCCAATTCGACTTGGGCTGGCACTTAATTTCTCAGTCTTTTACTATGAGATTCTAAACTCCCCTGAAAAGGCTTGCAGCCTGGCAAAAACGGTGAGAAAGGTCATCCTCTGTGGCTTCTAATTACAGTGAAACAGTGCTTGTGCTTTTTTATAACTTTTTATTACCTGAACATAACTTGTTATTTTGGACTTTAAAGAATTACTGGGGGTGGGAATGTATCTTTCTTGAAGTAAGTACAGACATGTTACTTCGTAATTTCTTCTCAGCACCTCCTGCTGATTTGTTTTTGTTATTTGATACTGTTTTTTGGGGGGTGGGGTGGGGTTGTGGACAACTCAGGATGAAAGTCATTTGTTGTTTCTCGTCAAGCTTTGGGCTCTAAGCCTCCATTACATATATTCCTTGTACTAAGATTTGAATTTATGGCTGTGTAAATGAAAGAAATCAGGCTGTTTTCTTTATGTGCCTGGTTACCACCTATCTTCTTTTGATACCCCAACTGCCTTTTCTGCATATTTTTGTAGTCTTTCAACATGCGCACACCGTTATTTACATTTTTATTTTGGGAGAAGTGTGTGAAATGAAGTCTTAAAAGTTCCATCACTTGATCGAATCAGACTTAGTGGTGTGAACTTCTATTCTCCCTTTATCCCCTCTATCCAGACCTTTTCAATTTTAGTGTGTGTTTTTTTGAAGGACTACTAGGAATGTCTTTGGTAATAAGAAGATTCTGTAAATTTGTGCTGGATTAACAGTAATATCTGCTGACTTATTAGGTACAGTAAAGTTCTTATCTAGGAATTTCATCCTTGTTTAGTGCTTTATAAACATGCATTAAATGTTTGCTGAAACAACTAGCAAACAAGGTAGTAAGAGCCTCAGTTCCCAAGGTGCTGTCCACAAAGAGCATATTCACTTGTTAGCAGAAAAAAATTGAGCTTAAACTCACTCCAAAGAACCTGTGAATTCTTTGCTAAAGGCTCTTTGTTTTTAGGCATTTGATGAGGCAATTGCTGAATTGGATACACTGAATGAAGAGTCTTACAAAGACAGCACCCTGATCATGCAGTTGCTTAGGGACAATCTCACTGTAAGTACTACTGATTTCAGTGGCTGCTTCTGGAGGTTTATTGTCTCAGTCCCATTCACCCACCTAATAATGCACTATTATTAGGTGAAACTCAAGAGGGGGTTTTACCCTGGAAGTATAGTTAAATTTTTAAATTTTTAACTGGTTATAAATGACTGATGAAGTGTTTGGTCCTTGTAGTTATCAGTGTCTACAGTAATACAGGAAGAATTTTAAACAATTGAGTGAGGTACAATGACAGACTGGGCCACCCCCTTGAGTAAAGTTTAGTAGCCCTACTTTGATTAAAGCTCTGTTTTTCTCTTGCAGCTGTGGACGTCAGAAAACCAGGGAGATGAAGGAGATGCTGGGGAGGGAGAGAACTAATGTCTATCGTGCTTCATGATCTGTTCAGTGTCACTCTGTACCCTCCACATCCATCCCTTTGTGCGATAAAAAAAAAAAAAAGTCGTATGTCGACTTTCGATTTTTCACAGCCTCAGCCTAGCAAAAATGGTCCATGGGATAAAGCTGGTATTTGTATCTAAAACTCAAGATTGGTCACATAAATGCCACGGCATTCTGAAGTTTTGATTTTGATTAACAGGATTACTGTGTGTTTAATTTTTTTTTTAACTGAACACTGTGATTATGGGGTTTTGTAACTTAACAGAACTCTTAACTGGTAGAAAAAGTAGACCCGAATTATGTGTAACTTTTTGGAAAGTTTAATCTGATATCAGAATAATCACTGAAACAGTTCCATTGTAAAGTTGTACAGAAAGTTATAGAAATTATATTGTGACGCTGGGACTTGGAGTGGGGCACCCCTTGGTTGGCATTCGAGTTCATGGTAGTTGATAGTAATTCTGCCTGTGTTCAGGGTTTATGGACACTTGCCAGTTTGGGCTGTTGCCACTCAAAAGTCCGTGACTGCAAAATGTCCATAGTGTCGTCCTCTGAGGAAACTCCAAGCCTGAGATTGAAGTTCTTTGTGGCAGATAACTGGGTCATAACACCACGAAAAGGCCCAGTGCTTGTATAACCCCGTGACTAAACCCCCTTAATTACAGCAATGTGTTACTGATAACATGTGCTTCAGGAGTGGGATCTGTTCTCATCACAACAGGCTAAAAAGTAAAAAGCCATGTATGTTATAACGGCCTTACCTGTTACCTGGATAATACCTTTAAAAATAGTGATCTGCAGAGATTGCCTTTCATTTGAGGAGTGCTTAGTCTTTGAGTTCTCCCTAGCTCGGGGCTTTTAAATTTTGAAATCTAAACATTCTTTCCCACTGTCCTTTTTGACATTGACTTTGGTTTTCTCTTCCTTCTTTAAATTTCTGTCCTGCTTCCTTACATTTTTTTCCTTTTGAATTTTATCTTTGTCTTTTGTTTTTAATACTGCATGGGCAGGGGTAGGGGGCCTGGAGGGGTGAGAGAACTAGTGAACACTGGTGAGCAGGCCTTGCTTCAAACAGTTGCAAAGAGCTTCAGCACCATAGCTCGGTCTACTTCCAGTTCTCAACACGGTTGCTCTTCAGTCATGCCAAGATCTGGATCAAAAAGGTATTTTTGAATGTCTATGATTTCTCCTGTACTGCAGCCCTGATAGTGCTTGTTAGTTCCTGTCACTGAATCTCCCACATGTACTCATCCAGCCAAGTTAACAGATACATTTAAACGAGACTATAATACAGGGAAGTTACAAGGGGAGAGTCAAGAACAGCCCAGCCTACCAGTCTCACAGTAGCCCTCTCAACCTTTACCATTACACGTAGCGGTAGTGTCCATCTGCTGAAATGAGAAAAGAGACGTTCATGCACTGATTTAAAACAAACCAAAAAATGAAAGAAAAAAAAAACCCTCTCCTTTCTAGCTGAAAAAAAAAATGTGCAGTTAATCCTTGGCGCTTGAAAACGCAGTAGTGAATGTGGAACGAGCCTGTCTGTATATCTGGTAGCTCTTGCTTTGTTTCTCCTTACTGGTATTCTGCCTCACGTTTGCTTCTGTGATGGTTATATTGCATAGCAAGCACACCCGTGGTTGTGAAAATAGTATAGAAAAAATAGAAAAATCCCTGGTTATTAATGTACTGAATTTGTGTATGTCTTTTAAACATTTCTAGTTTCCACCTTACACAGAATAATCAGGAGAAGTGTAAAAATTCAAAAGTGAAATAAAAAATTTTATCAGTGCCTGCGAATTGTTCTTCTGATCACTTATATTTGGCCTTCTGCTCTTCCTTCAAAGCTTTGTTTCATCCTTCAGAACAAAAAATCAGGGTGTCATAAAGGGAAAAGAAACTAAGATTAATTAACACAGAGCCTTTTTCCACCTATTACCTGATGCCTCTCCACCTTCCATAACAAACCATCCAGAGATTAGGTCCTCCTTTGTGGCTTCTGAGGTTTGGTATGGACAGTTGGTTACTTTGCATCCCATTGGAGATTGCCCCCACCTTTCTTAACCCTGAGGTTAAGAGAACCAGTGAGGTGGTTACATAAGGCTTGGTCACCTCCAGGGTTATACCAGTCTCTCTTCTGCCCCCACACTGTCGTAGTCTGCCACTGTCTCCACATTGCATTTGGCCCCTTTCTAAAAACGTGTGCATTCTCACAAGGAGAGGAAACCATTCTGGGTAGAGGAATGGATTTTAGCCCAGCATTAGAACTGGTTGGTGCTTTCTTGGTACTATGGGCTGGACGGCTAGACCAGCTTCTGTCCCTGGTTCCCGAACTACTACACCTGCCCAAGTCCTGCCCAACCAAAGGTCACTGGGAACCAGAAGAGCCTGTGAGAGGCAGGGTGAAGTATTGGTCGACAGTGGATTGGACTTTTAAAACAATGGCTGTATAACACAGATTGAGGCTGCAAACAAACTGACAGGTCGTGCTCAGTTTGCAGCCACCACAACAACCTTGTGTTAGGTCCCTAGAGTAACTCGGTGAGCCTTCCTGACAGGAAACAAGTGGGGTGGCTTAGTTGAAAGGTGGGCTGGAAAGCCCTACAAAAAGAATTAGGCCATGTAAGAGCCAGTGTCAAGGTAAACCTCAGTGGTCCCAATGTCTTTCATGGAGCCTTGAGTCCACATCCCAAAGCCGGTTCCGCGAAAGGCGGGACTGCATCTGGCCTACCTTGGGGAAAAGACTGCTTTGAGGAGGCAGGGTACACGAGCTTTGAAACGGTATTTGTATGTGAAGCAGGCGCGGGATGCGGTCTCTTTTAATCCTTGCGAAGAGGAAGCCCTGTTTTAAGGGAAGGGAAACGGGCCCAGAAAGGCGGTGACATCGTTGGGATCAGAGCGAGTCCCAGTCCCCGCCCTCTGACCTGCTGGAGAGGCCCTGCAGCCCCGTCCCGGGCCAGGCTGGGGGTTCTTGACCCCCGGGGCGGGCTCGGAGACGTCCCCCACCTGCGTCGCCGAGAACGCGAAGGGCTCCCAGGTGCGGGGCGGGAAGGGGCGGAGTCGCGGGGCGGTAAAGGGCGGGCGGCCGGCAGCTCGGAGAGCCCTGCACGCCGGCAAGTCCTGCTGCCAAGGCGCCCGTCGGGTGAGCGGGCGCGGGGAGCGCGGCTCGGCCCCTCGTTTCCCCCGCAAATCCGGCCCGCGGCCAGCCATGAATGCTAGCGGCCCGGGCTACCCGCTCGCCTCTCTCTACGTGGGCGACCTACACCCGGACGTGACCGAGGCCATGCTCTTCGACAAGTTCTCTCCCGCGGGGCCCATCCTGTCCATCCGCGTGTGCCGCGACGTGGCCACCCGCCGCTCGCTGGGCTACGCCTACGTCAACTTCCAGCAGCCAGCTGACGGTGAGCCCCGGGGGAGAGCACGGTGCCCAGGGCACGGACCGGCGGGCGGCAGCGCCTCGGCCATCCGCGCCTTCATCTCTGGCTGCTCCTGCAGCTCCCATCTTGTAGCCGTGGAAACAGGCCCAGTTGTAGGGCGTGGGAAGGGCCCGGCCCCTGAGACAGAAACCAGCACTGAGTGTGCGACTACTGTGTGTTTTACTGGTGCTCCGTTTGACAGGTATTAGGGCTGAGGGAAAACAGCTAAGGGCCTTGGGGTCAAGCCCACCTGGAATCAGAAAGCCTGCAGCTGTGTATGTTCTGCAAATTAACTCGATCATTCTGAGCTTCAGTTGTCCGTCTTTGAAATGGGATCCTACCTGCCTTAGAGAGTGTTTGGGAGGCTGAGAAATTTGAAGCTCCTGGGAGGATGATGCCTAAGGGAACACAGGTGTGGAGCAGGGAAGGCAGGAGAGCTGGCCTCTGGCTGGGCCTCTCCCCGGGTCTGTAGCCGACACCTCCTCCGCCCCAGCCTCCATGTCCTGTTTCTCAGAGCTGACAGCATTGATGAGAGCCTGCCACATGGGTATGTCCACCCTCCTTGGGAGAGGAGAGGATAAAGGTTAAGAGTACAGGGTTTTGCTTGAGCTCTGCCAGTAGGGTGTGAGCTGGAGCACCAGCTCGTCTGCGAAATGCAGCTAAGGCTTATTCCCCAGTAGTCAAAAGTGGTAACATAAGAAAAATAACGGTTACTATAATGTTCAGGCATAAGACTCCAAAAAAAGACCTGCCCCAGCCAAGTCCAAAAGAGGATGCCCTTACTCTGGGTGTCCTGGGTGGATGGGGAGGTTCCCTGAGCTGGGAGGTTTGCTGGGATTGTTCTGCCTGTAACGAAGCTGGATTCCAGGGAGCCTTCACCTCTGCTCTGCTTTCCCCACCCACTGCCTCCTCATGTCCCTCCAAGCCCTGCATGACTGCCCTGCTGGGTCAGCCTCCATGGATGGGATAAACTGAGTTCCAGCAGAGAGGAGGGATTTTGCCCCAGGTGTTTATAAAAGGACTGAATGGAAAACTCAGACCTCTTGAAACTTGCTCCCTGAGTTCTCCATGGTTCCCCTCCATGCCTCTGAAACTAGAGTTCATGGAGCCGGGGACAGCATATTACCTGGAAGAGGGATAAACTGTAGCACTGGCAGGAGGCCAGACGTAGGCTGCTGTTTTGAGACACACTACCAATTACCAGGCACCTATTTTGCACCAAGCATGAAGTATGAGGTACTTTGTATATCTTATTTCATTTCAGCCTGACCAATGACCTGGATGTAAGTGTTGTATCACCTCTTGTTAGATGTGGAAAGGTGGAAAATACTATCATCATCCTTACTTTACTTACATCTTCTCTCTGAGGCAAACAGGCTCAGAAAGGTGACATCCACCTTCCTCAAAGTCTAGATCAAATTTCAACTCTGCGGCTCAGCACCTCTGAGCTTTAATTTCCTCAAACTGTTGCTACCCTTTGTCATATGGATCCTCCTTGCCTGTTTATCTACTCAAGTGTTCTTTAGAAACCACAGTAGACCTTGCTCTGCGACTGACCTTTCCCCTTTCCAAGCCTCAGTTTTCCCTTCTGTAAAATGGGGATAGGAATTGTTGCTCGCATGGCTATGGTGAGGAGTTGAATGAGATCCTAACTGGAGGGTGGGAGGGCTGCCATGTACATGAGTTCCTTCTGTGTCCCTCCTGAGCCTCCAGGCTCTTATCTCCAGTGAGACCTAGTGGTGTTTTTTTTCTTTTTCTTTTTCCTCTTTTAATTTTCTCCCAATTCAGTGGGCTTGAGGAAGGAAAATCCCCCTAACTTGTTCCTTCCTCTCCCCCTCCTGTCCAGCGGAGCGAGCACTGGATACAATGAACTTTGAGGTGATCAAAGGCCAGCCCATCCGCATCATGTGGTCCCAGAGAGACCCAGGACTTCGCAAGTCAGGTGTGGGCAACATCTTCATCAAGAATCTGGAGGACTCCATTGACAACAAGGCTTTATATGACACCTTCTCTGCCTTTGGGAACATCCTCTCTTGCAAGGTGGGAGTGCCTCTTTGGTGCGGCAGGTGGGGTCTGTATCAAATACCTGGGTGGTAGAGGGATGCCAAGCAACACCTCACTTTACAGTTACGAGGTCTCTTCAGAAAAGCTCCAGGTGCAGCAAGCATTTGAAAGGTAGTCATTCTTTCAGTGTTATCTTCACAGAATGATCAGGGGTCACCTCTGTGTCAGCTATAGCCAATGCCAAAATTTAGTGGCTGTCAGCAAAAACCATTCATTTAGCCCCTAATTCTGCAGTGGGCTGAGTTCAGCTGGACAGTTCTGGTCTTGCCTGGGCTCCTTCATGTGCCCATGGAGAGCTGGTTGCCTCTGCTTCTAGGAAGTGGTTGGCTGTCACATCCCAGCTTTCCTCTGTATGGTCTTTCGCCCCCCAGCAGGCTAGTCCAGGCTATTCTGATGGCAGTGGCAGCGTTCCAGGAGACAGAGTGGTAGCCCACCAGGCTTCTTGAGATCTAAGCCCAGAACTGGTACACTTACTTCCTGTGCATCCTATTGGCTAAAGCAAGTCACAAGATCAGCCACATTCAGGTAAAAGGACAGTAGAAATTAGAGGACAAAGGGCATGGTTACAGGGAGACCATTAATTGAGGCCATCCTGGCAATCAGTGGCCACAGATTGTTTTTAAGGTTTCTGATACAATAGAATGAAAGTTCCGTTAAAGTAGCAATCTTATTCTTATTCACCATTGTATCCCAGTTCCTTGAATAAGATGTGACACATGGTGGGTGCTCAATAACTATTTGTTGAGCAAATAGCTGTATTATCATTTTAGAAGGGCTCTGGTCATTTCTCTGACCTTGTAGATGAAGATCTTGAGGATCAGAGATCCTAGGGCAGGTCAATTGATCCTGACGGCTTAAATCTGGGTATTTTGCCTCTAGATCTTATGAAGACGGCAGTTAGCCTGCAGACTTTGGCATGTCCACCCTCCTGAGGAGGTGGGGGAGTGATAGCACCCTCTGTTAGGACCCTTCCTTGAGTGCTACTAGGTGCCACGCACAATCGGAAAGTTCTCAGGCCTCACCACCTCCCTATGAATGAGGGTATATTCTCATGACCCAGAGGAGCAGGCACACTCACGAAGGTGCAGTAACTGCTAAGTGCTTTCATGATAGACAGAAAGGGCTATTTTCTGCTTTTAAGGATCAGTGGAAAAGATCTGTGGGGTCAGTTTTAACAAGAATAATAAACTTATCAAGTGCTTTTTATGTACTAGGTTTTCTGTATCCATAGCCCTATTATATTTCCCATAGCATCCCCTTAAGATATAAACAAGAGGAACCCTGTGTTATTTGACGGCAGAGAGACTCAGAGCAGGGGTCAGTTGTCCATGGTTAAATATTGTTACATGGGGATAGGAGGTAGGTGGGGGTAGGAGGTAAGTGGCAGAGCCAGGATTTGACCAATAGGTTTGCTGGCTGAGTTGAGGCTAACTTAATAGGGAACAGCATGTCTGTCCCCATTATCCAGGTCTTGAGGCTGCCTCTGGGTCCCTGTGGATTGGACAGAAAGCTCTGTGTGACTCAGACAAGTCTTTGCAGGCCTAATGAGGCTCCTTTGTGGGCCTAGTTAGGTACAAGGAGCACAATGTGATTCCTACCCCAGGGGTTCTTAGCTGCTTGCAGATGGTGAGACATAGGAATTGCTGGAAACTGGACTCTGAGGGCAAAGCCCTAATGACCCATGTAGTCAAGGCCCAGGAGGGAGAGTGGCACGTGGGTGCTCAGGACAGGTTTCTGTAGCACAGTGGAAAGAGCATTAGACCTGGAGTCAGGCCACCCAAGTACAAAGCTCCATCCAGCCACTGAGCAGAGAGGCAGCATAACATGGTCCATTAGACCTTGGACTAGAGGGCCAAACATCCTGGGTTCAAATTCTACTTCTTCTGGTACTGGGCCATGTGACCTTGACCATTGTTTAACCTCTCCCACCCTCAAGTTCTCTCTAAAAGGTTGCAGTAGAGGGGGACCATACCTAAAGGGTTGTTGCGAATGTATATTAACTTGGGTAATCTTCATAACATGTATAGCTCTTGAGAGGGTACCTGGCACGTATTAAGCATCAAAATGGTAGCTGTAATAATCACAAAGTTACTTCTGCTGGCTGGTGACCTTAGACAAGTCACTTATTCCTACTTTCTCCAATCAGACAGCTGAGGGCCCAGAGGTTAAAAACTGCCTAAAAGGGTGCTTAGGGCAAATTTAAAAAGTTAACCATGTGGTGTCCTTCCCAGGTGCTTGGCCCCAGAATGGGGACCCAGCCAACATTACTAAATCTAATAGAAGAGCTGGGGCTTGAGTTGAAAGTGGAGCCCTTGTTGGGGGCTGGAGAGGCAGAGGCGTGTGTCTTGGCCCAGGATTCAGGAGCAGAGCCTATTGAGCAGGGCCAGCCAGATAGCCTCAGATGCCAACTTGACACAGTTCTGTAGAGAGTAGGTGCTCCTGGAGGTTATGTCCCTAAGGGACATGGTCACAATTACATTTTGGAAAAAGCATCCCCTGGTCAGCACGGAAGCTGGGTTGGGGGGCTGGGTGGCAGAAAATGTCACTTAGCTAAGCTGCGGCAGTGGCTGCAGGGATGGCAGAGCCAAGGACCCCTTGAAAGGGACGTTTGGGGTCCCAGTGTAGGTTCAGCCAGAGGAATGGTAACTACATGACCTGAAAATCTTGCCTTAAGTCAGGGGGCTTACAGATGTGTGCCCCCTGTACAGATGTGTACAGGATATTTGTGGGTCTTTTAAAAAACTGAATTAAATTTGTTGAAACCATACATGAATTGGTAAAGTTTAAACAATGTGGAAGGAAGTAAAGCAAAAAAGAAGGCTGTGTCCCTTTCAACCCTTGTCCCCAGAAACAATCGTTAAGTGTTTTATGTGTGTCTACTTAAAATTTTCCCACATGTAGATGCCTACTTTAACCCAGATGGGCTTGTTTTTTTTCCCCCCACTTAACAATATACCTTACAGATAAAACTATGTTAGCCATATAATCTACCATGTTCTCTTCAACTGTGCAAGCACAGCAGACCAGTATGAATGTACTGTAACTTAGCCAGTCTCCGCATGATGGATATTCAGGTTGTTTCTTATTTGCTATTACAAACAGGGGTGCAGGAGTGGGGGTTTGAATCTAATCCTTTTACCCACTGCCTTAGGAAGGTAATTAAAAGCTGGTTTATAGCATAGATGAGACCTCTGTTTAGTTTAAGGACACTCCCTCCTTACTGCTGTGTGATCTTAAGCAAGTGGATTGACCTCTCTGAGCTTTAGTTCCCCATCTCTAAGAATGGAGCTGGTGTGTGATACAGGATTCTCTTTCACAGGCACAGAGCAAGCACTCAGATATTAGTCGTTATCATTCTTTCCTACCTGAGCGGCCTGTTGGATGCTGTCCCTGTCCTTTTTCCCTGTGGCCCAGGTGGTTTGTGATGATCACGGCTCCAAAGGCTTTGGATTTGTCCATTTTGAGACCCACGAGGCCGCACAGCAGGCCATCAGCACCATGAACGGGATGCTGTTGAACGACCGCAAAGTGTGAGTGGTGGGACGAGGGGGCGGGACCCAGGCCAAAGGGCCAGCATCATGACACCGCCAGCTGGGGGTGTCTAATGGCCCGCCACCGTCTAATGGCCCCGGGCACTGAACAGCAACTGGTATTCTTCCTGGCAGTGTGACCTGGGAGCGACCCCCTTTCCCCTAATAATAGTGGGGCTGCTGATACGTGTTAGAGGATTGTTCTAAGTAGTAAATGACGGAATGATGTTGAAATTCTAGCAGGAACAGTTAATGACCATTAAATCATCAACAGACTCTGGGACTCTGTTTTCCAGCCTTCCACCATGGCTGTGATTTTTTTTCTTAAACATTTTGTGTTTTTTCATGGGAGTTTTGGACAGGAAGTAAAGTAGGCATGTGCTTAGCCTGCCGTTGTCATACATTTAAGTTTGGCGTCATCACCACTTCACAGATGGGAAAACAGATGCAGATGCTGGAGGGAATCTGCTTTGGCCATCCCCATCTCCCTGTTTTATCCTGCCCATCTGGTGGCCCAACCCCATGCTTCCCGCTGTGGAGTGAGAGAGGCTTTGAGCTGGGAGATGTACAGAGAGTCCCTTTGTCCTGGGTTTCTCAGGGAAGGCTCCTGTTAACAAGACTGAACCTTGGTGCACTTTTCCCAGTTCCCAGAAGGCTGTTCTGTTTGTTAGCTGCAATTTGCCCAAGTTTAACTTTGCCACTTGGTTTTCTTCAATTTTTAGTGCCAGCTACAACTCACTTATGCTAAATGTGTTACAGATACCGTCACGTTTTCTTATGCTTCATTTTTTTCCCCTTAATCAAAGATGCTTTCCTAGCTGTGTTTACATGGACCTGGAAATTACAATTTTTAAAATTAATATTGTATTTAAGTGATTTCAGTCCCTTCCCCCATAGCAGCACTGGCGTGGGGCATGGTTCTCTCACCACCGCTTCCCCAGTGTGCCCAGTCCTTGTTAAATGAATTAGCGAATCCCTGTGATGTGAGTTTGATCCCTAGTTTTATAGAAATGAACATGGAGGCTCAAAGAGGTTAAGTAACTTTGCCAAGGTCACAACTAGGCTGCTGCAGAACAAGGATGCACACCCTCATCTGTATCACTCCCAAGTTCATGCTCTTATCTCCTGTGCCCTCAGCTGCCTGGTAGGAGTTCCCTGCGTGCCTCCAGCCTATGCTGGAACATAGACTCTTGGCTGTTGGAAGTGGTCGGGTCTTGGGAGTATTCCACTTAAGAACTATTGCCTTGTCCTCTCCCAATGAGGGATACAGGGGACTAGAGGCCGGCAGCAATTGACCCAAGTGACCTGGGTTTGCTGGGTAGGCTGTGGTCGGGATGGGGTGGCTGAAGGCTGGCAGTTGCCTACCCTGTCGGTGTGTCCACAGCTTTGTTGACCACTTCAAGTCTCGACGGGAGCGGGCCGCAGAGCTGGGAGCTCGAGCAATGGAGTTCACCAACGTCTATGTGAAGAACTTCCGTGGGGATGTGGATGAGCAGGGCCTGCGGGACCTCTTCTCCCAGTTTGGTGTGCATGTTCCCCAGGGGAACTGGGGATCACTTTCTCTTCTACTGCCAGGTGGGGTTGGGAGGCGGGGCTTTCCCGAGGCTCCCTGAGGACTTGTGGCAAGGGAGGGGAATACCTTGGGGTGTCCCTGACTCCCCTTTGAGCCAGGTTGGCCCTTCTCAGGGAAGATGCTGAGTGTGAAGGTGATGAGAGATGACAGCGGCCACTCCCGGGGCTTTGGCTTTGTCAACTTTGAGAAGCATGAGGAAGCCCAGAAGGTAGGAGCCTCCTATGGCCCTGTTCATGGAAGACATACTGAGCCAGTACTGGGAAGAAGGGAATCAGGACCCGGGGGCTCCTGCTGCCCCTGGAGGAAAAAGAAAGCCCCTCCCCAGCTTGGGCCCACATGAGCAGGGGCCCTGCCTGCTTGTGGTGAAGGCAGAAGGTTCGTCTCTTTTGCTTAGTTCCAAACCCTAAGGCTGGCTTCTTTTCATAGATTTCTTGCCTCATGGGAGATAGAAAGGGCCTTTGAGACAGCCACCATCTTCTTGAATTGCTGGTGGGATTGAGGCCAGGGAGAAGTGCTGTATTATTCCTTGCTTCCAGTGTATTATTTCTTTGTAAATGTTGTTTTCTCTAAACACTTTCTTTCTCTGATGCTTTAGACCAGTGCTGTTTAATAGAAATAGAACAATAGCACATGTGTGATTTGAACTTTTCCAGTAGCCACATTAAAAAGGGTAAAATAAAATGATTAATTATATGTTATTCAACTTAACATATTCAGGTCATCACTTCAGTGTGTATTCAGTATAAAAATTGAAATGTTTTACATCCCCTTTTTTGTACTAGTTCTTTGAAGTCTGGTGCTATAGTGCATGTTTACTCAGACTAGCCATATTCTAGGTACTCAGTAGTCTGGACAGTGTAGTTCTAGACTAGTTAGTGTCTATTCTTTGGGTCTCAGCTGTACTTTCCTTCCTCCAGGAAGTCTCCTCTTCTGTGCTGTCATGCTTCTGATGAGGTACCTGTCTGTCTCCAGCATTAGCGCCGGTCTCGGTGCACAGAACAGGGACTAGGGGCTGGGTCTCACTTCACCATGAAGTCGCTAGTATTGCACCTGCCAGTAGGTATCAGATACACATTTGCTGAACAAGTGAATGGTACAGGGTCACACAGTAAGTGACAAAGCTGGAACAATCATGTCCTATTTGGCCTGCCACCATAAAGCTTCTTTCCTGGCCACTGCCCCACTGAGATCATTGAACATGAAAGATCTCAGCTGGAGGTAGATTCTGGAAAGGGACCTGGACCTGGTGCCATCTTGATAGCAGCCACTTCTCACTGGGCACTTACCATGAGGCCAGGCACGTGGTAAGGGCTTTGCATATATCCTCACCTCTACTTCCACCAGTGTGGGCTCTCCTGTTGCTATTAGGTTCCACAAAGTCACAGCTAGGAAGAGAGACCCCTAGGATGAGAACCGGTTCTTTCTGACTCCAAAGTTTTGTTTGTAAATAAATGGCTCCTTTGAAAGGTAACTTCCTGTGTGTCCTTGGAAAGTCCCACCCTCTCTCTAGGCTTTGGTTTCCCCAACTGTAAAATGACCAGTTGGAGTAGATGGGTGAAACTGCAAGGGTCCGTAGCCTCCAATGTCTTAGAGGCTTCACTAATGACCTTGAAGACTGCTGCAGAGCAAGCAGTTCCTGGGTCCCTAAGGTATGTGTACATATGTTTGCACATTTAGAGAGGGAAGCAAAAGTCATCATGTGAAAATATCTACTAATGAACTGACCACTTAAAAAGTCAGTTTGCTTTCAAATTCTCCTCACTAACGCCAGTGTCTAATCCTAACCACTGAGTCAGTACCCACATGGGTCTGCTTTTTGCTGATGTTGGTGGATAAGTCCATGCAAATCCAGTTCAGTATAAATGGATTGCAAAGAGAAGTTTCATATCTTGCAGAAGATGTAGGATTTCATGCAAAGTCCCTGACAATTTAGGATCTGGCAGGCTTAGGCCAGTTAAATGAAGAAAAGTAAAATCAGCAAGGGTTAAGACAGATGTCAAAAAAAACAACCCTAAAGCCCTCATAGTTTGCACAAAGGATTCTTTGTGCTGTGAAACCCAACATGAAGTGAAGGATAGGATTCTGCTCTCATGCCATTTTGAAAGAATTATGCTTGCTGTTTTGTTCAAATACTCAGTGTGTAGGTACAGTTAGAACCTAAACATTACATTGAAACTTGCAGTTTCCCAGGTTTTCCTTTTTAAGGGAGAGCCCAAATCAAATTGTTTTAATCTACAGTTTATTCTTAAATTTTGTCCCATGTTTCTTAAAAGTGGATTCACCACACATGGCCTTTATCCTGGTACTGATTGCTCTCAGTTAACCATGCTGACTGGCTTGGAGGTGGCCCCTGTAGGTCCAGAAGATGGGACTGAAGGCCAAGCCTCATCTGGTGGTTACCAAGTGCTCCCTCCCTGTTTCTGCACAGGCTGTGATGGACATGAATGGGAAGGAGGTGAGCGGACAGCTGCTTTACGTGGGCCGGGCCCAGAAGCGGGTAGAGCGTCAGAATGAACTGAAGCGCAGGTTTGAGCAGATGAAGCAGGACCGGCTGAACCGTTACCAGGTGCGGGGTGGACCTCTTCTGTGCAAAAGTGCCCGTGACTCCTGCCTCTTGCAATCCCACTCCTGGGAACTTGGCTTTGGGGGCACTGCAACTTCCAGGTGACAGGCATGCTGAGTGACTGCTGGGGGGCATGGATGCTGTACAAGACCAGGGACAGGGGCCTTGGTGGGTAGGGCTTCCAGTGCCATCCCCTCTACCCATAGCCATCTGGGGCTTGGAGGGAGAGGTGCATTTTGTGGCTCCCTTCCTTCCAGGGCGTGAACCTGTATGTGAAGAACCTGGATGACTCCATCGATGATGAGAAACTGAGGAAAGAGTTCTCTCCCTATGGAGCGATTACCAGTGCCAAGGTGAGGGCCAGGGGAGCCTACAGGGGTGGCTTCCAGGGAGTTGGTGTTGAGCAACTTCCTCCTTTTGGAGTTTTGGGGGTTTTGTCTGACCCCACTGGAGCTTGTCCATCTGCAGCCTGGTCTGGAATGGAGGGAAAGAGGGTAGAAATAGAGTCCCAGTCACATTGTGGACTTATTGGGGCCCATTGTAATCTTGGTTCATGCCACAAGCATTTATTGAGTGCCTACTGTATGCCAGATTCCAGAAACTCATGTCTCAGAGTCTCCATTGACTTTTGTTGTCTGGCCTTGGCCAGTAACATGACCCCTTCTGGGCCTCAGTTTTCCAATCTGGAAAATGAGAGTGTACCATTCTTCATTAATTCTTCCCCATTTATTGAGCACCTGCCATGTGCCCAGCCCCCTTAGCACCTGAGATATGGCAATTGGCTGTTCTCAGTACCTCTGTGACCTTGAGGAAATGTCTGAATCCCATCTATAAGATGAGGGTGTTGGGCTCACTGATAGTTCTCAACCATAGCTTGTCACTGAAATCCCCTGAAGAGCTCCTAAATATACCTGAGTCAGTCAAATTGAATGTTGGTCTCATAGAGTAGGGCTTTAGCATTTTATTAAAAGCCCCAGATGATTTTAAGATGACCCAATGGTCATTCATTCTATACTTAAGCACCCGCTGTTTACCAGGCCCCCTGGGGAGCATACAGGAATAGGGCAGATGTGGTCCTTGCCCATAAGTAGCTTAGTCTAGTAGAGAAGTCAGATGCATCACTAACTCAAATCTGCAGGGGATGTGTCAGGATGAGGAGTGGGGGTACTGGAGGTGGAGCTGCAGTAGCTCAGTGGAACAAGAAGGAGGGCTTCCTGAACGAAGTGGCACTGACAGCAGGGTTTGACTTGGCTATGAGAAGATAGGGAGCTGCAGGTGAAAAAGGAACTTTCCAGAGAGATCAGCCACCTGGGGTGTGATGGGGCTGCTCATGTGATGTGATGGCTGGGTTCTTAGGAGGTGGTGTAGAGGGTCATTTGTCTGCTGCATCCAATCTGAAATGTCTTCCAGGGAGCCTAGTATTTGGGAAAGAAATTCTAACAATTTCTGGCTTAAGGATCTTTTGGGGGGAAAAAAAGTGGCAGAAAGCTGTGGGAGATGTAAATTAATCATCAGCGAATTTGCTTAAATGTTATAAAAAGCTGTGGGCCCCCTTTCCCAGCAAATGTTATCTGGTGTAGTATTGTGGTTGAAAGCTGGGATTTTAAAGTTAGAGTTAGGGCAAGATCCCAGTCCTACCATGAGCTAGCTGTGGAACTGGAAGCAAGTGACTTCGCTTTGTGGACCTTGTTTACCCGCCTGTAAAACGGGGGCAACATTACCTACCTCCTAGAGGTGTCCTCAGCACTGAAGAGCCTGCACGTAGAGCGCTTGCACAGGACAAGCAGTGAAATAATGATCTAATTCTTCACACATGTTGCGTAGAACTTCAGGAGATTCGCCCTTCTTGAGGACTCCTTGAAGGAAAGGCATTGTAAAAAAAAATATGGACTTTTTGGAGTTGAGGCACACCTGGGGTGGCTATTTTATTAACTGACCAACCAGGTTATAAAATGGGAATTTTATAGAAGTTTATATATTTTTTATATAACTTAATATATTTTATATTTTATATAAAATACAGTGATTATGAAAATTCAGTGAATTAATGTATATAGTGCTTACAACACTCTCAGATTCATAATTAGCTCTGCCTACTGGTAGGTACCAATTTTATTTTTTACAAATAGAAGTTCTTATTAACATGTTAAGACAATATTTTTGTGCCAAGAAAATTCTGCTGTCTGATGATGCCTGTGGACTCCTTCTGACAATATTTTTAAATGCATAAAAATATTCATAAGATTGCAAAAATAATTATATTAAAATAATAATCAAAATTCTAAGGTGACAGCAGTACATGCTTTAATTAATGCATCAAACTAAGATCTAGTGAAGTAGCAATTAGTGTAAATGATATTTTGAGATCAGCAATTATGTGATATGTGATAATTAATATTATAAGCACAACTAATACTACTATGGTATTTTTCTGTTGCCTGTATTCAAAATAGAAGGAAATGAGAATGTGACAATACAGATGCCGCTTTCTCCCAATCCAAGTTCAGTCTCCCTGAAGTCTATCTATCCATTGACCTCCCTGAGGGGATCTGTGAATTCTCAGGTTCAGGCCCCTATACTAATGGGTAGAAAATGCAGTTTGAAAATCACTGATGTGGAGCATTGGCTCTAATAAAGAAGATTTAATAATTAGCTCAAGTCTTCTTTGGGGTGTGTAAACTAGGCCAGTGTCTTGATCCTAAAAAAGATCGAGAACTGTAAATGCACCATGGGTTGGATTCTGGAAGAAAAAAATATTAGAAAAACTAGTGAAATCTGAATGTTAATAGCATTGTAGTTAATATTGTAGCTAATAATTAACTGTCCCAATGTAAATATTGTAGTCTTGGCAAATATACTGGGTTAACACTGGGGCAAGCTAGGTGAAAGATGTGTAGCAACTCTGTTCTATTTTTGCAACTTTCCTCATAAATCTAAGGTTATTCCAAAATAAAAAGGTTCTTTTAATAAACAGGCTAAGAACCTCTTCCCCAGATTCCTAGAGAGTTGGCTTAGTGTCTGGCAACAGCAATGATGATTTACCAGAATGGGGCACTGGGTTCAAGTTCTGGCTAATGTATGACCCCGTGGCTGGGTGAGCCCTGGACAAGTCACTCCCTTTTTATTTTTATGGTAATAAGAACTTTTATTTTAAAGAAAATTACCAGAATAAAGCCCCTAAAATACAAATTAAGTTTATATTCATATTCCTTACAAATCTCTATATTGAAATCTCTAGACAATATAGCTCTTAAGTTTTTATGTTCATAATTTACAAATGCACTAAAGAATTGTATAGGTCGTTTAATAAAACCCAAGGAGTAATTGAAATGCAGGTTCACATAGTGAACCTCAACCAACATGTTTAGGATCGTGGCCCTGGTGGAAGAACCCTGTGACCTATTAGATTTTAACCAATCCTCAGCTGCCATCTCACTTCATTATAGTCCCTCTGATGAAAGTAGATACAGTAACAGTTTAAGCCAGCTTTCCATCACAGCTTAGGCACATCTGTTCAGAAGGAAAACTTAGAGATAAAAACAAATCCTGAAATGGAGGTGTTCTGACTCTGGGGAATGGTCTGTTAGGCAGCGAGCAGCCCTCTGTTAGCAAGTGGACTGGTCTCTGCACGTCACCCTCGAGCCTCCCTCTGTCCCCTGTGAAGTGGGAGTGGCAGTGCCTCCCTGGTCGTGTGGCTGTGCGCATGCCGCTAGAAGGCATGCCGAGAATCTGGTATGCGGTGGGCCTCAGTAAATGTGTGGGTGACAGTGCACAACTAGACTGCAGTTTCTCCTGGGCCTGCTCAGTGCCGGGCCAGGCCCCGGGCCGGAGCAGGGTGGGGGGAGCATGGCCCCAGGAGCCCTTCCCTTCCCCCAGCAACCCTTGTCTTGTCTTGCTTTTAGGTGATGACAGAGGGTGGCCACAGCAAGGGGTTTGGCTTTGTATGTTTTTCCTCTCCAGAAGAGGCGACAAAGGCCGTGACAGAGATGAATGGGCGCATCATCAGTACCAAGCCACTGTATGTGGCGCTGGCCCAACGCAAAGAGGAGCGGAAGGCCATCTTGACCAACCAGTACATGCAGCGCCTCTCCACTGTGAGAGCCCTGGGCGGCCCCCTCCTGGGCTCCTTCCAGCAGCCGGCCAGCTACTTCCTGCCTGCTGTGCCCCAGGTGATGGCCTGCCCACAACCAGCCCAGCCACACCCTTCCTGTGGGCACAGGTTGAGCAGGAAGACAGAGCCTCATGGGCAGATGTGGGTTTCCAGCTTGCGGCTGGCAGGCCATTTTAACTCCTTCTGTAATGGGGGTGGTAGTGTTGCTCTCCAAAAGCACTTACCATTCGGACAGGTTTGTGGATGTTATGCTGAAAAAGATCCTCATGGTCAAATTAAGTTTGAGAAATACTCCATTCAACAAAAGAAACCTAGATTTCTTTACAATAGATGCTATTCTACCCTACTGTGCCAGTATACATTATGACTTTCCAGAGCCAACAGAGGGTATGTGGCATTTCAACTTACATGTAGATGGTCATTTTTTGTGGGATGTCTGCTAATATCTCTCATGGATGTTAATGTCCTAAGGAACATGCTTTGGGAAGGAGTTCATGTGACCTTAAGGAAGTGGAAAGATGCCAGCCATCAGTGGCTCCTAGGACCAGGGCATCCCTGCTTCTTTTAGCAGCAGCTTAAGCTGGCACAAGTTAGAGCAGGATGTGTCACACTGGGTGCAGATCATGGGCCTAGTAACTCTGAAAAGAAGGGCAAGGATTGAACCTGATATCTTGGGTTCAGGGCCAGGACATCCTGAGATGGGAAGCAGGAGCCTTCATCCCAGCTTTGTGGGTCTTTCCTAACCATTCCCCTGGAAGGGACAGTGGACTTCCTCCAGTGGTGTCCCCGAGGGGATGTGGTTCTCCCCTCCTCTGCTGTAGCCACCCTCACTCTAGGTGGTCTTCTCCCACACAGCCTCCGGCCCAGGCCACGTACTATGGCTCTGGCCCACCCATCCAGCCTGCTCCCAGGTGGACCGCCCAACCATCCAGACCCTCGTGTGAGTGACCGGCCCCTTCCACCCTTAGCCTGGCCCATGTATAACACAGCCGTTAAGAACCCTGGCTTTGGCCATGCCTGGCTCTGCTACTTCTCAGGCCGTTCATTTGGGTGGGTAACCTCTCCTCTGAGCCTCAGTTTCCTCTTCTAAATGAGAAGTGTGGAAAGTGCCAAGCACAGCTCCGAGCCTGTACAAGATGCGCAGTTGTAGCCATTACCTTAGTAGCTCCAAAGATGGTCTGCTTTGACTGTGAAAATGCCTGCAAAGCTGGGAGAATGCAACTCCTTGGGCTGTATTATTGATGAACACTCAGAGTGCAGTTCACCCTGACTTGAACCTGTCTCGGGGACTGAGGTGTGTAGTCAGGACGCCTGTGCCTCTTGGGGCAGACGTTGACTTGGTGACTGCAGATTTCACACCCCTCCCCTGCGTTCTGGGTCCCTGAATTCACTTGTCTTTTTGCTGTGAATGTCCTAGTGCCGCTTTCTATTTCCTTCCTCACCTGGACCCATCAGGGCGCAGTGTGACACTCTGATTTCCTCCCTCCCCCCTTTTCTGTCCATGTTCTCTGTACCACAAGCCGCCTACTCTCCAGCTGCCTCGTTGGGCCAGCTGCCAGCTGTGTCCCGGCACCCCCCGGCCCAGGTCAGCAGCGTCCGGCAGGCGTCCACTCAGGTGCCACGCCTGGTACCCCACACCCAAAGAGTAGGTGAGTGAGGGCAGGGCCAAGGGGAGTGGGTGTGCAAGGAGGTGGGCTGGGGGCTCGGTGCTGGGTTCGCCCAGGCGGGGAGTTAGACCTCGCGTCCATGGTGACCTTGCCATTCACCCTCCTGGAGAGCAGGACTGACTTCGGAGGCTGAGGAGCATGGCCATTAGGTTGGGCCCAAGTCCCACAGACCCAGTGACTGGGGCTACCTCTGGGGCTATCACTATCTGGTCACCTCATCTTTAAAACAGGGGTGGAAACAGTAGTCCGGTTTTGTTGTGAAGATGAGTAAGACCATATGTGTGAGGGCTCAGCACCAGATCTGAACCTTAGTGAGGACTGGAGCAGCTGTGAACAGGGTGTGAACTTTGGACAAGAACACCCGCTCCTTCATTTGGCTGGTGTTTGTGCGTCTCTGTGCGGGTCCCCCACTCAGCACTGGGGAGTCTATGTGAATGCCCGTCTCTTTAAGCTTTATGGCTTTACACTGGGCCACGTCCTAACACCCCTGCTTACTTCTTACAGCCAACATTGGTACCCAGACCACAGGACCCGGTGGAGCAGGAGGCTCTACACCGGGCGGGCCTCTCCTGACACACAGATACTCCTCAGCCACACACAACACTCGTGGGGTAAGGCTGTTCCAACTCCCCACCTAGTCCACCTCCAGGGGTCCTGGCTCAGAACCTTGGCTAAGGTGCTGGCCCTCTCTGGGCCTTTGTGTATTGTTTAGTTATTGAATTATAAAGTTTTATTTATTAACGTGTACAATCAAGAAGAGATCACCCTTACTAACAGAAGGGGGGAAAGGGCCAGGATCACAGTTGGTTATTACAATTTGCTTTGGGTTATTGCCAAAATTAACTTGGATTTCCTTAGTATTTATGTTGAGCAGCAAGGAAAGGTATTGTAGAAATATGCTGAATCTTGAAAGGGTGTGATTAATCTGAAAAAACACTGAAAACATCTGTAATTAAATTAAAAGACTGTGCATTATCTCCCTGCCCCTGGTAAGGTCTTAAACTCAGCATTTACCATATCCTATTTAGAATTTTGATGTGTATACTTTGATCTATTTCTTGCAAAATGAACAATAATAATATTTAAACAGCAAAATGCCTTTAAAGTTACCAAGATGTGAAAGGCTCAGAAGCATGCTGGGGATGTGGCCAACTAAAGCTACTTGATAAAAAGTACTTTATTTGGCACGAAGTGATTAGTAATGTGTAGCTTTCATTTGGCAACATTCATTGGGGGCCTTTATAAGTTCCTGGCACCAAAGAAAACATCTCAGAGTAACTTTGTCTAGGTCACTGTGCCCTTGGTAGGGATTCTGTCCCACCCGACTGCCCGAACCTTGCCCCCTTGCGCCCCTCTTCCAGAGCCTTCCTGGAGGCCTGTGCTCCCCTGACAGGGTGTTTGGAGGCCTTGTCCTTCTATGGTGGTTAAGGGATGTGTCCCTGGCACCATGTACAGGCCCAGGAGCCCGCTGTGTGCATCCCCGGACAGGAGCCACTGACCGCCTCCAGGCTGGCCGCAGCACCACTGCACGAGCAAAAGCAGATGATTGGTGAGTGGCTGGCTCCCCTACTCTGGAGCAGGGACGGGGGGATGAGAGCTCGCTCGCCTGGTGGGAAACCGCGAGTGGAAGTCAAACATAAGGACAAGGTCCAGCTTTGCTGCTGCCCAGCCTGCTGGATGACCTTGCCTGAGTCACCTCTGCCCTACAGGCTCTGTTCTCTTAAGACATTGTCAGACCAGATGGTCCTGAGCTTTCATCTGCTCTGCTGTTCTGTGACTCTGACTTAGGCTGTGGAAAGATCCCAGGGGCAGAGAGATCAGGGGCCAGGAGGAGTAAGTAAATGGTCTTGGGTTTGTGGTAAGAAATGGCCCCTCAGGTGGGTGTTGCAGCTCCTCACACCTCTCCTGCATGGGAAGATGGTGCCACCACATTTCATGTTTCCCCGTGCCCACTGCAGGGAGGTGGGAAATCAGCATGCTTGGAGCAAATAAATGTGTTCCTACTGGACTCTGAATGCCGCGTGCAATTCATCTCATCCCCGCGGTCTGACAAGCCCTGTGAAAGGGTGCCACTAACTGCTGATTTAATGAACAAGCTTACTGCTGACTGGCAGGCACTCTTCGTCATGGCTACCAAGATCTCCAGGCCCTTTTCTAAAGGCCCCCATTGCTGCACCCTGTTGTCTCCTCAGCTCACTTGCGGTTTTGCCATTTTACAACCCACCCCTCAAAGAGGTGGGCTTAAGAGACAGAAGGCTCTGTTAGCAGTTCCCTGTAAACATCGCTTTCCTCCTGGGCTGCTCCCCCACCCCTTATAAGGCACCCAGCACCTGCCCTGGCTCAGTCTTCCACACATGGCTGAGATGGGCTGGCCACCAGCACTAGGCCCTGTCACTAGAAGTACCTGATGGTGGAAGGCGAGTTTATCTGTGTATTTGGTTCCCTACCCCTGAAAAAGTCAAGTTCAGCATTATATCCTTCCTAGAATTTCAACATGGAGACTTAGAACTATTTCTTGCAAAATGAACAAGAGTAGTCTTTAAATAGCAACCAACTTTTTGCCAAACCCTATGCATATTCTTTCATGTATAATATCAAACTGATTCTTCAAATTAGCCTCTGAAGTGGGGTTTGCTATGCTTATGCTATGGTTGGGAGAGGCACCCAGTGAGGCTAAGTAACACAGCCTGGTAGGGGCAGTTCTGGAACAAGCCCCCCCACCCCATGCCTCTGTTTCATTCCACAATACCACCTGGGGGTGCAGGGGGGGGCATCAGCCAGCTGTGTGCCATTAGAGGCTGTTCCTTACAGGTGAACATCTTTACCCTCTTATCTACGATGTGCATACCCAGCTGGCTGGCAAGATCACGGGCATGCTGCTGGAGATTGACAACTCAGAGCTGCTGCTCATGCTGGAGTCTCCAGAGTCCCTCAAGGCCAAGGTGGGCTAGAGCCTGGGGGCTGGGAGCAGGGAAGGCAGGAAGAACAACAGCAAAGGCCTCTCCTAGATGAGCTGGGAGGACACTGCCTGAACAGATGATGTTTATCTTCTTGTTAATACCAGCCAACACTTGCCAAATCTTAGCATGGGGTTTGCTCCTTCAGTCCCTCCAGATTCATTCTCTGCAGCTCCATGTACAAGGTTTTGGTAGAAGGAGCTACGGTCTGACTCAATACAAGGGTTAAGGTTCTTCTCGTCCAGCAGGGCATGTATGTCTGAGAAAGTGGCCCTGTGTTTCTGTCGTGGGAGCTTGCAAGCAGCAATAGAAATACTGTGGAGGGAAAGGAATTTTTGTAGCATGCTGAGGTGTGGGAGGTCAAGGCTCTCCTGCAACCCTACTGGGGCACTGCCCTAAATTCCTCCCATTCCATCCCATAGGTAGAAGAGGCCCTGGCAGTGTTGCAGGCACACCAGGCCACTGAGCAGACAGTGAATGTGCACTGAAACCAGGTGAGTGGAATGGCGGCAAAAGCTGAGCCCAGGAGAAGCTGGGAAGAACCCTTTCTTCCAGCTTTCTCAGAGGCACCAAGGAGTTTAGGGGAGGCTGTGAGGGTCAAAGGAGAAGACAAGCTGTGTGACTAGATGGGTGCTGACTCTCGTACCAAGTGAAGGAGGTGCCCCCTTGGCAGCTGCCCGGCCTGGCCTCGCTCCGAGCAGGCTGGGCTTTCCCTGGGTGCTGCCTAGCTTGGCCTACTCTGCATCCTTAGTTGAAGAATGGGTGGTTGTCATACATCAGAAACATTTATTTTTAACCTTTCATCCCCCAGAAAATGGAATCCTCCCTCCCCTGACAAGAGAACAGCGTTTCCTGCTCTGGACTCTAAGGCCCTGTGAACCATGACTTATTGCTCAGTCGTGCTGTATCTGTGCTTGAGCTCTGTGTGGGTAGAAGGCTGACCACCCAGCCAGACTGTCACCTTTGCTTTGTGCATTAAAAAGGGCTGCAAACTTTCCTGTCTCCTAGGAGGCCTTCTTGCGTCTGAGGGGGGGTGAGGCAGAGCTCGCCTGGGTTGGGGCTTTGCTGAAGGGACAGAACCCCAAAGTGTTGCTCCAGTACATAGAGAGTGTACACCAGAAAAGACCTGTCAGGAGCTGAGTGGGACCATGGGTAATAGCCCCAAAAGAGCAGCCACCCACCCATCAGAGGTGCAGTGGTGACGAAATGATTGTCACCACACAGCCCTGAGAGGATGAACTAAAGCCACAAGCGCCCACATCTGTTGCACGTAGCAGTTTCTGAATGCCTGGCTTGAGCACTCTATGTGCAGGTAAACGTCTCTGAAGCCGCAATGACTTCCATGCTCTGGCCCGAGGGACTGAGGGCTTGTGGAACCTAATGAGGAAGAATCCTTAGGATACCTTCCCAAGTCATGTTTACCTTCAGTGTTCTCATTAGTAAATCAAGATACTTGCCTTCCAAACCTTGGGAAGAGATTGTGACAATGTCACCACTAAACTGGCCTCAAATCAGGTAAGAGTCATGCCTGCTTAAGAGGTGGCAAGAAAAGGGGTATAGTTCCCCACTTTGAAATGGTCCCCTGGCCACCCCCATGGAGTTTCTGGACTCCAGAATCCACTTCAGCTTGCAGGTCTGACTGCTCAGACAGCACAGACTCCTCCAGAGATCAGAAGCAGCATGTGCACTGTGGGATGCTGCTCAGCACTGTACGTGATACAGACGGAGGGATAGTGAAAACACTCTGCTGTTTTATGAAGTCATCAAACTTCTGCTCCATTAAGGGGAGAGTCATTTAAGTAGGACACGCAGCCCAGAGAGGGGAGGCGAGCCTTAGTTCTAGCTGGATTCCAGAGCACTCTGTAGCCTCATCCACGTTTTGTGGACTTGAGTGGTACTTACTGGTCCTTGTTCCACGCTATCCTCCCAGATGGGCCTTTTTACAAACCCTGTTCTGTACGCTTGGACTGCTTTCTCTTCCCCTCTTGCTCATTAAACTCCCACATCAGAACTCAATTTAAGCTTCACTTCCTCAGAGACCTCTATCCCTCATGGGGTCAAGTCTGCCCAGGTAGGCAGGGGAAGCATTGAGTGACTACTCTTTTAACGCTAACACTAGCTGCAGTTTTACACTTGCCCCTGGGATTATCTGATTGGCTACTTGTCCTCCCACTAGACTGTCAGCTCTCTGAGAATAGGGACTGTGTCTATTTATTCACTGTTGTTTCCCCAGCACTTTCCACAAAGCCTGGCCCATGTAGATATTACAGGAAACCTGTTCAATGAATGGATGCAATGCTCAATAAGTAGTAACTTTTATTATTACAAAGTCCTGAGCAGAAAGCTGAAAAAGCATAAATTAAAAAAGAACAGACATTAGGTAGAAGAAAGATATTTAATGCAATAGCTTAAACACAATTCTACAACCTTAATATTACATACTAGTACTCAGTTCAAACAAACATAGTATTACAAAGAAGCCTGGAGGGGGCCACTGGTGAGGTCAAAAGGTAAGTCCCTGCCCAGACTGGAAGGGCACTGACTTCAAGGGGGCCTTTCTTCCATCCCTCCTTCAGGAACAGCCACAACTCTGGGCTCTTCAACCTCTTAGGACCTCCATGCAGGAGGCAGCAACACAGAGCCACAGACAAAGGTCTGGGTTCCACCACCCCAGCAAAGGAGGGTCTGGCCAAAAGGCACTGGGGCTCAGAACACAGGCTAGTATACCGAGGACAGCCCTGGAGAACAGCTCAACAGGCTGCTTTGGGGGGTAGGTGGGCCAGGGTTCTCTAGCTTCTCCAGCTTGCTCAGATGGACCACAGTGAGATGGGTCTGGTGAGGCGGGAAGGGGCAGCACTGGGCCTGCAGCATGCTTGGGGCAGGGACAGAACCAAGCGCTCTGCTGCTGAGGACCTGTTTGTGTGACATACCAGCTGTCTGTGGCAGGGGGAATGGGTGACAGGGGTTCAACTCTAGCAGGGACCATTCCAGCAAAATGTCTGGTTTTTGACTACACTGAGCTTAACTTGAACAAGCAAAGCCTCTTAAGGGGTGGAGGCCATTGCCTCTCTGAGGGGCTTCCAAGCTCACTCTGGGGCATGCTGGGTCCCGGGGGCAGGCACAGAGGAGGTCAGGCAGAGGTATTCTGCTGCCCTTTTAGGTTTTTAGTTTAAGCTCTGGTTAACTTCCCGCTGTAACTTCTGTGCAGGGCCGTTCCTGGGCTCAATGTGCAGGAGACTGCTGATGTCTGCCAAGCTGGATTTATAGTCCTGATGGAAGAGAGGAGGGGATGGGGATGGCATCCTGACTGAGGTGAGATCAAGCAGGGGTGGGGACAGCCGCTGAGACGGCACAGGGTTCTCAAACCCCAGCCTGTAGGCTGCCCTGAGTCACCTGGGGACAGACGGGGCAGATGCTACCTGGCCTTGACCGTGCTCTGGAAGGACTGCCACAGGCCCACATGTCTGTGGTTTAGTGCTTTTGGTCAGGCTCTTCTTACCTTGAGTGCCTTGTAGGCTTGAGCCCGTCTGTAAAATGCCTTCACGTTCTTCCCGTCCAGCCTGAGGGCTTCTGTGCAGTCCTTCACTGCTTCCTTGTACTGCTTCAGGACCAAATAGCAGAGCGCCCTGATGAGGAAAGAGGGTTCAGAGGATTCAGTGGCTTCTCTGGGCCACCGACTGGCCACGAGGCAGCCTGAGGAGTTATCTCAGCTGGTTACTGTGTATCTCCTTCCATCCTCACAGCAACCCTAGTCCCCCTTCTTATAGGTGGAAAATGCTGGCTACCAGGGGTGAAGGGGACCTGTTGCTCAAGGCATCACTGCTCCTGAGGGAGGGGCAGACCTGGATTCCACCCGGGCTCGCATGACCTCATTTAGTTTATTATTCTGCCTACCTCACGTTCCCTAATGTGCTCTTTCAAACCAATCAAAGGCTTCCAGAAAGCTCCCCATTGACAGATTAAAAAGTTATCTACTCCTCAAAAAAAACCCCATAAATACATGCTGACATTAGGGGTGAGTTGTAAAGGATGTCTACAGTTCTGAAATGTGTTAGAAATAAAACAGACTGATGGCTGGCTAAATGGGATAAACCAGTATAACAATGGTGTGAAGTTACATGGTAGGCAAGTGGGTAATCAATGTACAATTCTTTCAACTTACATTTTGAAAATTTTTATAATAGAACAGGAAATAAACAGTAAATCGTGTATATCCATACAATAAAGTCTTCTGCATCTATAGGGACAAAGTATGTGCATATATTTTCTTCATTAATTCTAGTCCTGTTCTCCAAAGACAGTCACTATAAACAGTCAGAGGTCTTGGAGCTCATTATGTAAGTCCATCCATTCTGCCCATTTTCAATGCACACGGAGCATTCACTTAGTTGGATATACCATAATTTATCAATTTCCTGTTGGTAAATATTTTCATTGCTTCCACTTTATAAATAAAGGATGCTGTCATCAACATCCTTGTACATAAATCTTAGATGCCTTTCAGGAGGGACAGCTGGGTCAAAAGACACGTGTATTTAAAATTTGATGGTTATTGCCAAAATGCTCTCCAGAAAAGATGCACTCTGCAGAGAAGTTATTAGGAGAGCCTATTTACCAGCAATTGAACCAACCCAGGTCTCAACCTTTAACTTCCGCCAATAATGGAATAAAACAGTGTCTCACTGTTTTAATGTAGTTGCTTTAAATATGGGTAAAACTGAGTATCTTTACACAAGGCCTTTTCATCCCACGAAATCAAATTTATCCAACTTTTAATGCTGGATAAATCCAACTTTATGTGGGTCCCCCTGCTCAGCTACCATATATGAGAATAACTTTTCTGTCACAAGATAATTAAACCCACATTCTTCTAGAACTTAATGGTTTCACTTTTTACAACTGAAACTGTGAGCCACTTAGAATTTATTTTAGCATAAGGAGTGAGGTAGGGATTCAGGTTTACGTTTAGTTCTGATCCAGTCAACCTGCCACCATTCATGGGATAACACCTCCTTTGCCTATGTTTGATTATACACTAAATTCTTATGCTGCTATGTCCATTTTTTCCCTGACAAACTTTGGAATCATTGCAAATTTAAAAACTAGTATTTTCATTAAGATTGCATGGAATTTGTAAATTAACTTAGGAAAAGCTTTTCCTTGTATCACTTTAAAAGCAAGTACAAATTCTTTGGTATTCGTCCTACGTTCTTTCCCTGTGAATTTAGGCAGGTTCTGTAATTGCTGTGACCAGTAGGGCACAGAAGAAAGGGTATAATGTGCGTTCCAAGGCAAGGTCATAGAAGCTTTGTAGTTTCTTCCCTGGTCTCTGGGAACACTTGTTCCTGGAGCCTTGAGATGCCATGTGAGAAGCCAGCTACCCTGAGGCCACCATGCTATGAAGAAGCTCAAGCTAGCACGTGGGAAAAGGCTATAAGGAGAGAAGAAAGGAGGTGCCAGCTTGCTCCAGCAATCCCACCTCCAGCCATCTCACTCATCCCAGTCTTGGTGCCGGACATGCAAGACTTCAGGTGACTTCAGCCTCAGCTGCCAACCTGTTGGCCCTGAATGTGACACCCCAAGTAAGAACTGTCCTTCACAAATCCCTTGCTCACAAAACACAAGCAAAGCAAAATGGCTGCTATCTATCGCCAAGCTTTAGAATAGTAGTTCTTGATTTAAATTTGAACACAGAGGAATTCTAAAGAAACTAAAGTTTTCTCAATGGGTTCTGACAATTTAAAGAATTGGCCAAGTTTCTGGGAAGTAATGGAACCACAGTATAAGTACTGTGTACTATGTAGTTACTCCAGAATATAAACATAATTACCACAATATTTAAGATGTTAAAAATGCATAACATTGGCCTTTAAATTGAACAGCCTTGGCTTTTGATAAGCAGAATGATTTTGTATCCAGTCAGAAACGTTTTCATTACAAAGGAGTCTGGGAGATGTGACTGAGTAAAAAAGTACCCAAGCTTTGGAGTAAAAAATCCTGGCTTAAATCCCAGTTCTCCCAGGTATTGTTTAGTTAACTTTGTGTTCATTGAGTCATCTTTCCCACCGTGTTTTCTCATAGATAAAATGGGATGACTTTGACCCAACCTGAAGAACTGCTGTGTGTGCTACATGAGACTCTCCTGAAGTCTGTCCAGGGCCTGGCAAGCTGCACATGCCAGGTACCTGCATGGTGCTGTCCACTCAGGCACCCAACTGCACAGGAGTGTGAAGCCAGCCGAAGGCTGTGCACTGGTCCACACAGACACATACGCACGCGGTGGAGCATCAGCACGGCCTCCAGGATGTGCTGTCATTTCAGCTACATAGGGGGAAAGTTCAGCTTTGTGTAAAGTTATCATCCTCTAAAATGAATTTATGAATTCAGTGTAACCACAACCAAAGGCCCACAAGGCACTTTTTGGGAATTTGTCAAAATGACTCTAAGGTTTAGCTAGAAGAACCAACCTGGGAAAATCAGAGCCAGGGATGCTCTGATTGAGAAGAATAAGGAAAGGACCAGCCCTATGAGATATTATAAAACAACAGTAATTAGAACAGTGTGGCACACACACATTTGCTTGAAAAACAGTATTTCTATCACAAACAAAGCGCAGTCCTGAATGGGATAAACATCCAGGAAAATGGGTTAACAGAGGTCTCCAGCAGCATGCGGTAAACAAGTCCAGAGCACGCAGAGAAAGAGGAGTCGGAAGACAATGCCACACTACCATGGAACACACGGGCTACAGCCCGTTCTTCCAAGTTAGCTTGGCACACGTCCCAGGTCTAACCAGCCAGTATAACCACAGGTCCAAAATTCCAAAACCCAACCTTTAAAACTAAAAATTCTCAACTCATTGAGCATGAAAACATGGCCTCAAACGACACGAGGCTGCTTTCTTTACACCACCATGTTTCACTGCCAAGTGTTAACAGCTGACATCAGCAGGGTGGCCCAGACCCTGCCGGACGGTTATGTGATTCGTATCTGGACCACATCACCTTATCAAAATCTAAAAATACATTTCATCTCAAGAATTTTGGAAAAGGAATGGTGAGTCTATAGTAGATCCAAGATTTATGAACTAAAGAGTAATGTGTGTATGTTGGTAGGGAAGGAGAAACAGATTTAAGATTCTATACTAATTATTTTGTAAGAAATGTTTGGATAAGATACGATTCTCTGCTGAATGTTTCAAGCTTCTGATAGTAAAACTAGCATAGCAGAAAGATCTCTTTGGAGCCAGGTTCCAATTCTGTCTCCACCATTTATTTACTGGCTGGGTGAGCTGAGGCAAAAAGCCCTTCCTGCTTCTGTGCCTTGTTTTTCTAGACTTTAAACTGGGAAGACCCACGCTGCAGCAGTGACTCCTACACCGTAAAGGAGTCTACACCCTCACTCCCAGGCTGCACTGTTCGTACAAAGACTCACTGACCACTGACAGCTGGTGGTGCAGGGCCTTCCGCAGTGCCACAAGTCTAACCCCTCAGGCTAGCCTGGACCCACCTCTCGCTCCCAGGCCAGGCAATAGTTACTCCAAACTAGAGTTCTGTTCTCAAGAGTCAGTGCCAAGATTTCTAACAGGATGGCCTTTGGAGCAGCCATCATGTGAAGCAAGGGAAGATGGCGAGGCCATGAGACTTGTGTTGAGGTCGTGTCTGCATAGCAAGCACCTTTCTTTTACTTAGATCATGTGCTAATTGGGGGGGTTAATGAAAAATCTGGGGAGAAGGGCTAGCAAAACCCAAGCTCCCCTTTGGCATCCCTTAGTTTCCATCCCTTTAAAGAGAATGAATCTTACTGGCATTGCCTGCCTCATTGTGATCAAAACAAGGGTGAATGCATGTTTTGAGCTGTAACATACTGACTACACAGCAGGGATGAAGAGCTCACCATGGTCGAAAAGAAGACTAGGGAACAGCATCGGACATCCCCTAGGCCAGCAGCTGTGGGGAAGGTACCTGTTGCTGTACGTGGCCGATTCCAGGTCACTAAGCGAGAGGCTTTCACTGTACTTGTCAACAGCTTCCTTATGGTTTCCCTTCTTTACGAGCTCATTGCCTTCTTCCTTCAGAACTCTGGCTCTCTCCACATCGTCAGTAGAAGGCACTAGATATAAATACATAAGAGGAAAGAACCATGGAGCAGGTGCCCAACTGAGACCAAAGAAATCTCTTTGGCATCATCTCTTCCAAGTTGTCTACAACCTTCTCTCCCCAGAGAATCCCTATACAGTTGTAAAGCATCCTTTAATGATTAATGAATTCCCGATTAATGGCTTCTGGGAAATTAAACAGCTTTTCATTCAGAAGTTGGGGACTCCTGGCAAACATACTTACACATGCACATAACAACACATACATGATGAGAAGCAACCTGGGCTCCAGCCTTGGCGCTGCCACTTGGTAGCTGGAGATCTTACCTAACTACCTAACTCTTTTGGACCTCAGTTTTCTCACCATTACAATGGGGGCAATACCTACTCCACACAGGGTGACTGTCAAGATGAAATCTGAGAATACCAAAACAGTGTAGAACTCTATGAACTTACAGCAGGAGAGTAAGTATTTAGGTAAACAAGCATCTGGTAAAGAAACGGTGCAGCTCCCAGGCTTGCAGAAGAGGGTATCCTCCCCCACCTACCAAGCAGCTCTGCTTCAGCCTTCAGGGGGAGTGAAGAAGAGCAGGTGAAATCCAAGCTGCTCCCCTGGCCTTCAGGCCCTTCACTGTGTGTCCCCAATTCCCTGTTCCAGCTCCAGCTCCCATATCACCTGCTTTTTTTATTTTTAAAAACTATCTTAATACTGAATATTTATGACAAAGGTAAAGTTTTAGGAATAAAACTAACACCCCTGAACTCATCCCTCACCTTAAACAGAACATTTAAAGGCCTGTGAGCCTCTCCCCAAATCAATCTGCCCCTGAAGGAAAACATCCCCAATTCTGTGCTTCCCCTCCACTTTTTTGGCTAGTTTAACTATATACAATAGTATCCATTAACCACTTGTTGTTGACTCTGTTTTTGAGCTTTAGATAGAGAAATAAATAATTCTGTGTATTTTTCTGGGACCTGGTTTTCCTTTTTCCCCTCAAAACTATATTCCTGAGATTCATCTCTGTTGATGCATGTACTTAGAGTTCATTCATTTCACTGAAATACTACTGATTTACCCATTTTCCTATTTTTTTGGAGATTTGGATTATCTCATTTTGTCTGTTGCTATGAACACTGTTGTTGCACACATCTCCTTATCACATGTGCATGAGCTCGCTGCAAGTACAGCCAGTGGGGTCCACTGTACACACATCTTCAGCTTCACCTGGGCCCTGCAACACACCTCACACTGCAGTCACGCTCACGCCCACTGCTCACCAGCAATACCCCCTGTGCTTCATCCTCTAGCCCTCTCCAGTGTCTCTGCTGAGAAGCCCCTTCCTTCTCCCTTGCCACCCGAAGAAATCCCTATTCAAGATCCAGCTCAACCTGTCACCTCGCTGCCACCTCCTCCACGAGCCTTTCCCTGACTCCTGAAGCACGCCTCCGCCAGTCCCCCCGTGAAGGCCCTAAGCACTGAAGACTCCAAAGCACCTTGTTCTTCCTCCTGTATTTGAAAACGCTGTTTATATGCCTCAGTTTCTCATCAGACCTAGAGCTTCCTGAGGGCCAAGCTGCCTGCTTTGTCTGCCGTATGCTGCTAGCACAGGACCCGGAACACATACTCTGAAAGAATGAAATAGATGGCAGGTGCATGGAACCATCTAGTTCATTTGCCCCCACATTTTCATTCTAGGGAAAAGTGGGGAACACCAGGTTCCCACAAACCAGAGTGTATGCTATCCTTGGCTGGATAGCATTCCTCCTGCAAAGGGGAGTAACTCCTGCCCTCCCCTAACACCCACAGCATGGCTCCAGTCCTGCTCCCTTCTGTACCTCGATCCCCAATACCTAGCTTGCTGGGCTGGGATAATTCCTCTGGAGCATCATTATAAGAGCTTCTAGCAAGCCCCTTCCTGAAGAATGGTCTCTTCATCTTACACAAATGAGGGGGACTGGCTCTTATTTGGAGCTACCTGGGTCTGATCTTCCTTCCCTCATTCATCCTCTTCCAAGGACTCGCAGTGCACATGTTCCTGGGGCAGCAGCACCACCCGCTAGCTCTGGAGGTGGGGCAGATGGCTTAGGGCTGAGCGAATCACACAATCTCAGTTTCTGGTCACAGAGACTAGTTCAGGGAACAGCCTCTGACCAAATAGGCCAGAAAAATCTGAGAAAATATATGAGCTGGAGATTTGGGCAAAAGAAACCCTTTCTTAGGGAGTGCTCAGAATAAAACCCTTTTTCTGTTCCTCTGGGACACGAGGCATGGTACTGGATGTGAAACCAGGAAGTGCAATAGCTTTCTTACTACAAGGAGAGAAGCTTGTCTGAAGACAAAGCTGATACACTAGAGAAGAGAGTGAGGATAAGTACAGGGAATGGAGTCAGTCTGAGCTGCTGGAGTAAATCTCGCCTGAACCTGACTTTTGGACTCTCCAGTTATATGAGCCCCAAAATTCTCTACTATTTTTACGATGTTGAGTTTTCTGTTCTTGCAACTAAAAACATCCAACATGATACATCCCAAATGCTGCTGGAGGAAAGAGAAGGGAACTGACACTGTAAACCCATGTGCCAGGCTGGGGTTCAACACACCTTACATCATTTAATCTGTACCACTGTGGGGTAGGTTTTTCCCCACCCTCACTGTAGAGGTAAGGAGACAGTCTCTAAGAAGTTAAGACATTTTTTACTTTGTTTATAAGATTATTCTTATAACTCAGCTTAAAGGAGGCCAATTTTTACAGGATTACTCTAAACAAAGTGGTTATGGGAAGACTGCCTGCCACAGTCTGAGAAATCACAGCTTACCTCTGTTCTTCGCAGTTGTGGTGTCTCTGGATTTGCTTTTAGTTGCCTCTCTGTGGTTTTCCAAAGGCAAGGAATCCCACCTCTTCTGAGCTGAGAGAGGCACCAAGGGGACAGAGGGCAACTTCAGGCGCCACTCGGGCCCATAGGAGTCCATGAGAGCTCTGGTCATTCTGGAAAGGAAGGTAACATACAGGGAGATTTCTGGCTGGGTCAAGAAGACTTTCCTCCTCTCGTAAAATCAAAGGTGGTGTATGGGAGCCAACAACTCTTTATATCCTTCTGACACCCAGCACGAAAGGAACAGGAGTTTGCCATCTGCAAACATCTTCTCCAATCAGTCACCATGCCTGACCCTCGCTTGGCTGCACTACATTAAGTGCAAAGTGATGGTCTGTTGCTTGTTAGTGGTACTTACACTTTACCCCCAAGGGACACACATTCCCAAAGAAAGGATCATAGGTTTCATACTTTCTTAATGGATCTATTTCAAGGCCACACAGGTACCTATTTGATTAATGCTCAGAGATTTTCTTTTTTGAATGCAAATCTTACCATGTCATTCTCAAATTTTTAAGTCCTTCATTTCTCTAGCCTAAAAGGGCCTGAGGTCTGGTCCCCTCCCATTTTTATCTTGTGCCATGTTCCCTCTTGATCGTTGTATTCAAGCCTTTGTACGTGCTTTTTCTTCTACCTGGATCAATCTTAGCCACTTCCATTTTCCCAATCCCACCTCTAGGCTGAGCTGACTTGCTTAAAATGCTGCTCAGTGACCGTGTCCATTTTGCTAAGTGCTTTGCAGCACCTAGAATGTCACCTGGAACCCACCAGGGCTCAATAAGTACGTACTGAATGGGTGAATAAAGCCAATTGTATGCTTTTTCTGCTCTTACAACCATGTTCCTACATTACTACAATGAAAACCTCGCAGACTGGTACAACTACAAATTCATGGTCTCCAACTAAGCTCCCAAAGCTGTCCTTCTGATCAGCCCAGATATTTCAAACTTCCACCCCCTCAACCCTGCTCCCTCCCTAGCCCTCCTCCTCTTTCAGAGCAAACTTACCCATACCCCAAATGCAAACCTACATGCATGGGCACCAGTGCTTCCTCTTTCCTCCAAAACCATAGGAGAGATGACAAGGCCACTCCCTCGGCCTAAGCTCTGGGCCCAGCCCTCCTGCCTCGCTCAGGGATCCCACTCGGCCACCATCTCCCTCTCCTATGTCTTCCTTTTTCCTGTTCTGTTACTTCAATCTTCAGCACTTAACTCCTCATGTAACCTAACAGCCCTCCTGGACACCCCTCTGCCATCTGCTACACTCCTCTGCCTCTTTGCAGATTGACTTCTTGAACCCACTGCCAGCTGGGTTGTGACCCCACTGAACTGCTTCCATTAGAATCACCAGTGACTTCATTCCTGAACCCTTGGTCTACATAAGGAACTGGAAGACCTGACACAAAGGATGGCTTCAACCTTCTGGAAACATCCCTTCCCTAGTGACACCAAATGCTCCAAGCTTCCACCGGCTGTTTGGGCCGCTGTTCCTAAGTCCTGCCGATGCTGGCATTTCCCAAAGCTGCTCCCTCTCTTCCCCTACACACTTGCTGAGGCACTCTTTTTCTCTCCCACAACTTCAATCCCCTTCTGTGCTGATGACCTTCCAATCTGTCGGGCCTGTATTTTTCTCCTTTGTTGCAAACCCATGTACCTATGCCTCCCTTAGATCTCCAGTCTCATGTCCCACAGTCACCTCCAGCTCAACATGGCAGCCACCTCGATGCCTCTTCTTCCCTTCTCACCAAAACCTGTTGAAATTCTACCTGAATGTCCCCCAAATGGGTCCCACTGTCCTCTTTCCACTATCTCCACCTCTCTTCCTGATTACCGCATGCCCCCCTTCCTATTCTGTTCTTTATCTCTTCCTTCTCCACTTCAGACAGTGAGATACTGCTCACCTGCTAAAGACCCTTCACTGTGCCTCACTGTGCTCCCATTAAATCCACGGCCCTAGGCCTGAAGTGATCGCACTCAACCACTGTCCTGAGCTGAGACCCTCGCCTGCAGCACCACGTAACATGGAAGCGGACCCCCACTGCTGAAATACATCATACTCCTCACCCCGCACTGCTGCCCCTCCTCCTTGCTGCCCCCCCACCCCAATCTCTATTCGTCTCCTGGTCTCAGCTCACCTCCTCTGACAGCCATCTCCGGCATCCGCCTCCTCCCCCAGCAGGTTAGGCCCTCCTTTCTGCCCCGACAGTGCCCTGCGCTGCCTCCTGCCACAGCTCTTGTTGCACTGTAGTGTGCTTGCCTGTTACTGACTGGTGTTCTCCATGAGACCAGGAGCGCTATTAGGGCAGGAAGGAGTGTCTCAGACATCAGCCCAGGCCCTAGTGCAAAGTCAAACACATAAATGGCAGATTTTGTTGAAAGACAGAAAATAAAGGAGGCAGAGAGAAAGTAAGTTAGGGCAGAAATGACACACTAAATACATACCATGAAGTTCTGTTAAGGGTTCACTCTTAGTGTGGCATTTGGCTTTCTAAAAGCCCATGCAAAGAGGGGAAATGATCAGCTGCACAGGAGGGCATCCACAAGATGGAAACAACTGCTCAGAAGTCCAGAAAGAAATTTCTCTGGAGGAACCTCTTGAGGGGGCCGCAGCACAACATAGTGACCCACATCCACGAACACCGCCGCACAGCCTCGGGCTGCAGCTGCCTTGCCTGTGGCCTGCTTTCCCCTCTGGTTAGCTCTTCCAAGCGAATGGGTCTGTATCGCTTTTATTTTGGCATTTCCCACTGAACCTGGTACAATACCTTACACAGAGCTCAACAAATTATTACTGTGTGAATGAATCTCAGAATCTATATGAGAAAACACAAACCAAAACAAAACAAAAAATAAAACCCTCAGGAATTCTGACACCTTAAAAACCTCCTAAACACAACAGCAGATTCTCCTTCCACGCTTTCCCTACACGCTCATTAGGCGTTTCAAGGGGTAGCCCAAAGCGATGGTCCCGAGTCAGTTGAAGAGGACAGGGAGGCCCAGAGAGACTACCTGCAGGGCTCGGGCTCACCTGCTGATGCCTTCCAAGGCTGATGTCACACTGTTATCAATCTGCTGCACTGTCTTGTAGTCGACATAGGCCAAGGAGTACTTCTCCAGGGCCTCGTATGCGGATGCTCGCCGCAGCAGGGGCTTCATGGCGAAGGGAGTCAGGGCCAGTGCGCTGCAGCGGGAAGCAGAAATGTCACCTGGCTGCTGAGTCACCAGGGCTCCCCCCGAAGTTCCTTCTGAGCAGGTAGGAGCATTCACTACCCAGAAGGCCATTTCTGGCGGAGAGATGTTGCTAAAAATTCAAACCTTAGAAGAGGGCCTTTTTAACTCAGGCTAAAGTGGAGAAGGGAACGAGGGCAGAGAACCACTAACATAGTGAAATTTGTGTGTGCATGCATCAATTATCACAGTTGTAGTTCCCCCAAAATCAAGGACAAGTGTCTTGTAGCTTTCATGCTTCTTGGTATTTCTACAGAGCTGCAGCCTGCTGGGAACAACAAAAATGCTTTGGAGTCAGAAGCAGTGGTGTTTGCATTCCACCTCTGCCACTAACCATGTGACCCCAGGCACATCACTTTACTGCCGCCTCAATCCTCTGCAAGGTAGTTTCAGCCTGGGAAGGACGGTAAACACTGCCTGAAGTGGTCCTGAGCACTCCATGAAGGAAAGCTAGCACAGGGCCTGGCACAAATCAAGTTAGCACAGGCTCCACGAGTATGCTCACCTCTCTCCTCCTCTCCCATCTACCACCAGCGCACCAAAGTAAGGCCATGTCACAGGGTATCAGATCTGAGAACACAGTAAGGTCTGTGTGCTAGCTTAAAGATGAGGAAAGAAGGTGGTATCAGACTGGCTTGGAGATGAAAGAAGTATGAAAATTTCTTTAATATCCTCTGCGCCTGGGCACCAATCAGTACCATTTTCCTCTTTCTCCCTTCAAAGCTGCTAGCCTGTCCCCCTTCCTCCCGCCTTCCATCCCTTCTTTCCTCTCTGACACACATCCACCCCAGAAAAAGCCAGTGCAAGCCAGTCATTCGTCTGCAACTGGGCTTCATCCTTGGGTCGCAAATCTGACAAAGGCTTTAAGGCCTCTCTCAGACTGCCCACCCTACTTCTCTTTTGGCAGCAGAGCGGAGACTCCAAAGGCACAAGTCAGAGGCCCCAAGGACCACGAAGAGTCACCTATTCTCAGTAACCTAGAGACGCTTGCTAGTATCGGTCATAGATGTAACTGGTGGGATCAGTCCACAGGAGGACCAGGCCAGACAAAGCCAGTCTCCTCCTGAGAGACCTCAGGCCCCACCAAAGTTACCCCTGACCACCTACGAAGTGCTGTCTTTGATGCAGTCTGTACAGTTTCCATCCTTCAGGTGGCATGCTGCTCGGTTGGAGTAGAGAACACTTTCTTCTTCAGGGTCCAAAGAACCTGCCCGGGTGGAAGCAGAAAACAGAGACTAATAGGTTGGCAAAGGGATGCCTAGGGACACTGGGGTGCATTTCACACCCTGGGCTCTCTGGGCTTTAGTGAAGGCAGCAGAGATGATTCTAACCCAATCAGACTTGCTAGCAAGTCTGTCATTCTTACATGGGAGTGAGAATACCAAACTTCACAGGGAGCCAGGCAGTTTCTCATTCACTCACTCCAGCACTGAGCTTAGTACGAAGAAAAGCTAAACATGAAATAGCTAGTTTCTGCCTCAAAGAAATCCACCTCTGCTTCGGAGAGGGGTGCTGTATGTTCATTTTATCACAAAAAGCATGTAAACCCAATAAAGAAAGAAAAGGAAAAGAAAAATACAATGAATGTCATGCTAAATGGGCTACACAAGTGTGAGGGACATAAAGGACACTGATTCTAGCTGGCAAATCAGAGAGGTCTCTGCCAGGGAAAGTCCTCTGGGCTGGCGACTATGGAGAACTTAGGAGAAAGACCCACACTACCACGTGGGGCGGGGGACAACTACCAAATCTTTCTCTAAAGGCAGTCCTTACCCTCGGGAATCTCAGAAGCTCAAGTCTTTTATTGTGGCCACATGATCTTCATTTACTTATTTTTTATTACTTTGGTATCATTGATCTACAATTATATGAGGAACATTATGTTTACTAAACTCCCCCATTTGATCTTCATTTTTAAAAATAACTTTTCAACCACTTCATACCTGCTACAATGGAACGTGACAAAAACAACATACAACAAACATGGAAACTATCAAGTGTTGACCCAATGATTCTACTCCAAGGTATATACCCACAACAATTGAAAACAAGCTCTTTTGAAAGCTGTGAAATGTACAGAAAACAGTATAACAGATATTCAGTATCTATCACTAGCCTTAGAATACACTCTATTTGTTTCCAACCTTATGTATTTTTGATAGGGCTAGAGCTCCACTCATCCCACCTTCTTTCCTTTGCTTCCTCCCCAGACCCCCAGGGATCAGCAGTCCTGAGGTTGGTTTGTCTGTCTTTATTACATGTGTATTCAAGGTAAGATAATGTATCATTGAATATTTTTTAAAGGTTTTCCTACGTGGCACCGTATTACCTATCCTGCACCTTGCTTTTTCCACTAAGTATCATGTTACCATGTAGATGCCTGGTATCTTTCACTCATTATCAACAACAAACATAATAAAATAGTAACTTTTTCCCCCTTATTTTGCTAGGCCCTGAGTGAGACAACGAAGTATAGAGGTAAGTAAACTATATCCTTGCCCTTAAGGAGCAAGTCCAAGTGCTCAAAGCTTGTACTCCATCTCGTCTCCAGGACACGGCTGCTCAGAAACTCCAGTGGTGGGCTGGAAAGGCCCGCAGAACCTGCAACCCAGCCCGTGACCCTGCGCAAGTCACTCAATCCCTCCGATCACGTGTGCTCCCCTATCACATGAACATATCACTTCACAGACTTTCTGGAAAGGTTCGCTGTGTTAGGCTGCTCCCTGCTCTCCTTTCAAGATCATGAAAACTGATCAGAGAAATCCGCCTGAGACAGGGAAAGAACAGGGGGCAGCCCCTGTCCAGTTAGAGCAAGATAAGGGCCCTGGGAAGGGCAAACGGGATGTTTACTAAGGACCTTGGAAATGTGAAGAACAGACTTGCAGCTGGAACAATGCAACAATGTATAAGAATTTCCTCACTGAGCCTCCCTGATAATAGTAAAAATGGTTCTTTTAAGTCACAGTAGCTCTTATAGATTAACCAAGGCATACTAGTTAAAAATAGAAATGACCTTTAGTATGACTGGCTAAAATATAGTTGGCATTCTGACGGGAACCTATAGAAAACATACAGCTTCTCTCCCTCTTGGATGCAACAGGCATAAAACCCCTAGACCTAAGCCCATAAGAGGCAGCCTTGCCCTCTCAGTATATGCCTGGGAGTTCTGCATCCTCTATTAACAAAAAGCTTCTTTCTTGCTTGCCTACCATGAGTGTTTGCGGAGTTCATTCTTCGACTCTGTGAACAAGAACCGTGGTATCATCTTCTGGGGGCTCGTCCGGGATCTCACCCTGTTCTCAGCCGCCTCAAGGGCAGCTACCATTCCCTACTACTCTCGCTTTAATGAATTCTTTCCTTATACTCCTCACACCTGTTAAGAGAATTCTTTCTTGTCCAGAGTCAAGAACCCTCCCCCTATTCAGAGGTTGAGGTTTCTCCTAGTGCTTCACCTGGTGCGCAGGGAGAAACTTCCCCGGATGCAGCTACTCTGCTACAAAGGGACTTGCCCATAAATTGCCTAGAAAATCAGTAGCGGGATCAGCACTAAACTCTGGTCCCCTACTAAATGTGACATCTGTTCAGCAATTCTAGGAACCCAGAATAAATCCATACAGAAGCACATGATTTTCCAAGCCAGCTGGGGTAGGATAAGAGAAAAAGGCAGAAATATTGATACTTCAGATTCCTCAGCAATTTCATCAAGTAAGGCTGAGAGGTCAGCCTCAAGAGAAGTGTTCTAGGAAATAAAGAAGGGGACAAAAGAGTGGCTTGAAACTGCTAAAGTTCAAACAAAAAAGGACTGGGATTTGAGGAGGATTTGGGAAGAAATCTGGCAAAATAATTAAAAACTTGCACTTGGGAGTCAGGCAAAGCCATATTCAAAATCCTGCCTCTGACTTATCTTCATGCCATAAATGTCTTACCCATAAGCTAAGTATACAGATAAAACATATGCTAGCCAAAGAAAATAAGAAAGAGAAGGAAGGCAAAGGGAATTAGGTAAAATGGGTTCCAATGAGGACTATGGGTGAGAAACTTTGGAGAAGAGGGGTTTGGGCAAAGGGCTGTGGTTGGCTGAAATGAGTGGGAGGCTGGGCGAACTGTTAAAAGACTATGTTATTCCTGTTAAAACTCTCCAGCAGCTTCCTAACAAGGAATAAAACCTAAACTTATAACAACAAAGCAAAATTTAAACTTTTAAACAGCAGCAGACTCACAGACTCCAAGAAGGGACTAGCAGTTACCAAAGGGACGGTGTTGGGGAGGAAGGGACTAAGGGGCATTATAATTAGCACACACAATATAGGCCGGTCACGGGGGAGGTAGGATAGCACAGAGAAGACAAGTTATGACTCTATAGCATGTTACTTACGCTGATGGACAGTGATTGAAATGGAGTGGGGGGGACTTGATAATATGAGTGAATGTTGAAACCACAATTTTGCTCACGTGAAACCTTCATAAGATTGTTTATCAATGACACCTTAATTAAAAAAAAAAAACCCAAACTCCTCACCACAGTTTACTGTGGACAACGTTTACACAATAGGTTCTGCCTATTACACCTCAGGTTTACTCCTTCCTCCAACTGGCTCACTATGCTTTGGCCCCTAGGACATGCCATGCCTGCTGGCCTTTGTAATTTCAGTTCCCTCCACTGGAATGGTCAGGACCCAGAACTTTATGCACTTGGCTTCATCCCATCATCTGGATATCACCTCCACTGCCAATTCTTCAAAAAAGTTCCTTGACCTCCCACTCCAAAGAAGTCCCCCAGGCAACTCTCTGTCACATCACAGTACTGGTCTTCTTCATAGCCCTAATCATTATCTGGCAAGTGTTACTCACTTATTCACTAGTTTACATCCACAACCACCCCACAAAAAAACAAGAATGTATGATCCTTGAAAGGACCTTCTCTGTTTTGTTACATATACTCAGTACATACAGGTGCTCAGTAAATATTAATTTAATTGAAGATGGAACAGCTGTGGAGAAGGAATGTTGAGCTACATCCTCAGTGAATAGGATGAAGCCTGAATAACTTAGGATGGGGGTCAGTTAAAAAGCAGGCAGCTTGTATATACCTATCAGGATGACCACTCTCAAAAGGAAAGAAAATACCAGGTGGTGGTGAAGATGCTGAGAAGTTGGAACCATTGGGAACTGTTGGTAGGGTGAAATAGAGCAACCATTATGGAAAACAGTATGGAGGGTCCTCCCAAAATTAAAAATATAACTACTATATGACCCAACAATCCCACTTCTGGATATGTATCCAAAGGAATTCAAAGCAGTATCTTGGAGACATCTGCACACCCATGTTCATCATGGCATTATTCACAATAGCCAAGAGCTGGAAACAATCCCAATGTTCAGTGGATGAATGGATAAAGAAAATAACCCATATGTTGAAGTCCTAACCCCCAGAACTCCAGAATGTGGCCATATTTGGAAATTAAACAAAAAAACAGGAAGTAGATCCATTTGGTGGAATATTACTCAACCTTAAAAAAGGAAATACTGTCATATGCTACAATATGAATTATACGGCTTCAAGGATATTATGGCCAAGCAAATATGCTGAACACAACAAACAATGCGTGACCTCGCTCATCTGAAGCATCTAAATTGGTCACATCATAGCTACAGGAGTAGAAAGGTATCAAGGGCTGGAGGGGGCGGGATTAGTACTTAGTGAATAGTTTCAGAGTTTCAAGATGAAAAAGTTTCAGAGCTGTTGCACAACAATGTGAATATACTTAACACTACTCAACATTTAAAAATGGTTGTTTTTTTTACCTCTAAAAGTGATAAAACATCTAGTAATATGCAAATTTTTTCTGATATTCATTAAGTGAAAAAGAACCAGTAATAAAACCATATTAGCATTAAAAAAAAGTGTAAAGAATGGGGGCAAATTTCTCGTAGTACGCACAGGAGGGGAATGGGCGTGAAGGGAAGGGCCTGGTGGGGCAGTCGGCCAAGGGAAGGAATCCCCCGGAGACAGGATAGAGCCAGGGGCGGGGCGCTGGGGTGCATCAGCAGGCCCGGCAGAGAACTGGGGTCAGGGGCGTACCTTGCGCCTGCAGCACCTGCAGCGCGCGGCTGTAGAGCGCGGCGGCTTCGGCGAACTGGCCGTTACGGAAGCTCTGGTTGCCGGCGGAGCGTAGCCCCTTCACCGAGTCTAAGGGTTTGGGGGCCATCCCGGCCAGGCCGGCAAAGGGGGCGCCTCCGTTTCTTCAGCCGAGAGGTGCGGGTACAGCGTCTAGGCTGAAACACCGGTAACCTCGCGCTGGCGTCGGGCGGCAACGCTGGCCCGGAGCCGGATGGACAGAGGGGCGGGGCGGGGCCTGCGCGCACCGTGACCTGTAGCCCCGCCTTCTGCGCACGCTCAGTTCGGGACTTAGATTCCTCCGCGCGCTGTGGGCCCTGGCGATGTGCTGGGCGTCTCACGGTGCTAGGATGCCGGGGGACATGGTGTTGGAGGCTATGTCCGTGCTCGCATTTGGAGCTTACGTTATAGTGAGGCCCGGCAGTCAGTTAACTCATGAGCAAATGACGATGATAAACTCGTAATGTGATTAGTGTGTAAGGATAACAAACCAGGAATGCAATGGAAAGTGACCACGTTGTATTTTAGGTAAGAGGACTGACTGATCATTGAGCTGAGACCTAAGGTTTAGGGAATACTGTACCAGACAGCGGGATAACAAATGCAAAGGCACTGAGGGTGGCAAAAGGCACTTAGTGCTCTTTAGATACTGATTAAGTAAGTGAATACAGTGATAGATTGATGAAGATCCTTCACTGAGGGCAACTTCAACATACCTTCAGCCTCATCAGACTCACTCTGTGTTCCAGGTAATACTCCTGTTTTTTAAAAAACTGCTTGTTGCTTCTGAGAGGGAGCAAAATAATGTGACCTCCAAAATATGCCACTTTGACACGTGGATTATTTTGGACTGAAGGCTCTGAAGACCCCGACTCAAGAAAAACTTTGCCCACTCCTTAACTACCTAAAAGAATTTAGATAGGGAAGTATGGCCTGGAAAGAGCTATTCACAGAGATAAACTTTTTATATGAAAGGCCTATCTGTGTGACAGGGCAAACATCTAGTTATTAAACATCTGCTCTTCTTACTGTCCTGTGAATTAGCCTCCTCCCCTTTGAAGCACCAGGCTCCATCCCATTCCTTAGCTCAGGACGGCAAATAAGCCTCAATTGTCTGACTTGTCCTTGGGTTTCATGTTTTTTAAGGGCCTCTCGTTCATATGTAATTAAATTTTTTTTCCTCCTATTAATTAGTCTTACATCAATTTGACCAGCCAAAAGAACCTAGAAGGGTAGAGGAAAGTGTTTTCTTCCCGTACACTGCCTGTACACATTAAGCTGTTCCTCTTGCTTCCTAACCTTTTGCTTATGCTTTCCCCTACTGGAATTCTTTTCCAAACACTTTCTCTTGCCTAATCCTGGGGCAGCCTGTAATCGACTCAAAACATCTCCTCTGAAAGTCTTGACTTATCCTCTACCATAACTCCTGTACTCCTGTTGCTCTCTTATCCTTAACTTACAACTTAGCACTCTGCAGTTGTTTTCCTCAGACTATGAGGTCTTTAAAAGCAGAAAGTGGGTCTTATCTTTGTCTCCTCAAGACCGATAGGATCTGGCACCCAATATGCACTGATAAATATTTGTTGACAAAAACCTGGTCTCTGCCCTCAGGAATTTAGTTATAATTATTTGTGTACACTCTTAACCAACCAACCTGACTGTAAACTTTCTGCGTGGCTGCTTCATTTGAATCCCTTCAGTGAGGCCCCACACAGGCCCCACACAAGAGGAAAGAATGGAAACCTAGAGCAGTGGGGAGGTCAGATGAGGCACCATACTGTAGTCATCTACTTAACCTCCATTTTTTTCCCCACAAGTCTAAATTTTGCCTGAGATGCTTCTGGCCCAGAAAAATGAATCAGAATTTCTCTAAACCAATCACAGTAGTCTTTATTCTTGTTTGCCCGTGATTGGTCAAGGAGTGGGCATGACTCCGATCTGACCAATAAGGTTATAGGATGCCTGCTAGGTGCTTCTGGAAAAGTTTTTCCTCCGAGATGAGAGGTACAGGACTTTGAAATAACCTTTTTTCCTCTCTTTCTGCTTTGGGTACTGTTGGGTTGAAGATATGGTACGTGGAGGTATGGTAGTCATTTTGCAACTGTGAGGCAATAAGCTTAAGTATGAAAAGCCAACATGCTGAGAGGGAGGAGAGTGGGGAAGATGAAATTGACAATGTTGAGCCACTGAATCAAGCCCAGAACTGCTGGTTGCTAGACTTCTTATTCATAAGCAACAAACGCAATGGTGCCTTAAGCCATTAAGTGCTAACTGTTGAATATATCCTAAATGGTATGCCAGACAAGCTCATTTGTGTCAAGTTGTATTTTCCAGAAATGGCCAAAACAATATTTCCAGTTCTCCATACTCTTTCAGAACCCTGCCACTACCTCATCAAGAGATGGAGTCTGTGTTGGCTTTCCTTGAAACTGGGCAGGGTTGGTTCACCTCAACAGTGGAAATGACATTTGTCTTCTAAAGCCAAGCAGTTGGAAGGCACTACAACCTCTTCCTGGCTCTCCTTCAGAAATATAATTTAGAATCCAGCCTTTATTCTGAGGAGGCTCAAAATCAGAGAAGCCTCCTACCCCCCACACGAAGTGACTTCCCATCCAACAGCCAGCACCAACTAGTCAGCCATGGGATATCCCATACTACCTGGATATCCCATCCTACAGTGTTACCCCAAGGAAAGGGATTTGAAACAAGAATTTAATTCAGGGAATTGTTTTCACAGGTGGTAGAGGAGCCAAGACATCAATAAGGGAAAGTGAAGCAGCCCAAAGGATAACAATAGCAGGAAGTGACTACTATGGCCAGGACTTGAATATAAAAAGGAAATAGTGATAGTGACAAAGTTCAGAGGCTGAAGTAGAGTGGAAGCTGGAACCAAGTCAGGCCTGTGTAGAAGGAGCTGAAGACAAAGTCACTGTTGGATATTCACCAGAGGCAAAGCTGGAAAGAAACGTTGGCTTTGCTCTTACTCCCACCCCGTCTCCCATTAGGGATGGCCGTACCAACCAAGGTCAGCTGACATGGGAACCTGGGAGGTGAGCCTGCAGGGTCAGTCTCCCAGGATTTTTTAGGTACAACATCAAAGAATGATCCACAAAAGAAAAAAAATGATAAATTGGACTTAATAAAAGTTAGAAACTTCTGCTCTTCGAATGACACTGTTAAGAGAGTGAAAACAAATCCCAGAAAATGTTTGTAAATCTCATATCCGATAAAGAACATACATCCAGAGTATTAGAAAACTCTAAAAACTCAGTAATAAGAAAACAACCCACCCAATTTTAAAGCCACAAGACTTGAACAGATACTTCAAAAAAGAAAATACACAGATAACAAGCACTCGAAAAGATGCTCAGCCTCATTAGTTATTAGGGAATTGCAAATTACAACCACAATGAGATACCAGACATACCTATCATATCGACTAAAAGTATTAAGACTGATCATACCAAGTGTAGATGAGGATGTAGAGCAATTGGAAGTCTCATACACTTTGGTGGAAATGTAAAATGGTACAATTACCTTGGAAACAGCTTCTTAATACAGTAAACATGTATCTTCTATATGACCCAGCTATTTTCTCACCCATGTATTTACCCAAGAGAAATGAAATATATGTATGTATGTCCATACCAAGACTTGTACACAGATGATCCTAACATTTGTATTTTTAATAAACAAAAACAGGAAAATGGCTACTGTTTTAAACCACTGGGCTCTGGGGTGGTTTGTTACACAGTGATAGCTAACCGAAACACTCAACTAACTTCTAGTAATTTTTTGTATCTTTGCATAGCTCACACTCAACCTAGCTCTAGCCACTCATCTCCTACTTTCCTTATTCAGTCTGCCCCAAACATGCCAACTTTGCAGCAGCTCTTCTAACACAGACTTTGCCCTTGCTGTCCCTCCTGCTTTGTTTTTTCTTTAAATACTAGTGTGACTTTATTTCAGTCACATCTAGTTTTTGTGTCTACTTGTTATTACTTCCCCACTTGAATGTAAGATCCAGGTGGGTAGAAACTTTATGTTTTGCTCACTTCCTGGCACCTAGAACTGAGCTTGGCCTACAGCAGATATTCAATACATGTTTACTGAGTGAATGAATGATTGTCTCAGCTTTCTAAGAGCTTTCCTGATCCTACTAGACTTGGTTAGGTTCTCATATTATAGTTTTCTATCTTCATGTATCACTAATTACCTAATAACTATCCCTTCTACACTGTAAACTGCAAAAAAGGTAGGATTCATATGTATCTTGAATATTGTTATGTACCCAGAGCCTAGCAATGCTGGACACATGGAGCTCTGTAAGCTCTGAATGAATGAATCATGCGTAACCCTGATAATTGGTTCCTTGTCTTAAGTTATTATCATATTTTGGTTGGCTGAGATTTGCTAATTCAAAATTCAGTTTTTCAGTCACACTAGCCATATTTAAAGTGCTCAATAGCCACAACTGTTTTTCATGGCACATAAACAGATCATTTCTGCCATTGCAGAAATTTCTATGGAACAGTGCTGGACTGGAGATTCTGTTGAAAAAGAGGGCAATCCTCATGTCAGTCTATCTTCTGGAAAAGTCCTAGGAGGGATATAAAGGAAGAATGTTTGACAATTGTGTATTGGCAAATTGACATGTATTTTAAAAAACATTTATTAAGTATCTACTGCTGAACATAGGGTAAAAAGCAGAGTGTGCTTTGGGAGTACAGAAAAAGAGCTAAAAGGATTTCAGAAGACAGAGGATTAACTGTTACAGGAGAGATTCGTCATGGTTTCCTAACTCTGTAGAAACTTTTTTTTTAGTTTTACTTCCTCAGGGCTCTCACTGCCATTTGTATAGATTTGTAATAGAGCAAAGTGGCAAATACAACATGAATTTTGTGGTGTCAAGATAGTCCTAGTTTAAAATCTTTGCTCTCACTAGTTGTGTATATATAGTGGAGTCTCAGCTTCCTCATCTGTAAATGGGGGGTACTAATTCTTACTTCCTGGGGTTGTTTTGAGGATTAAGTCTAGTATTGTGCTTGCACATAGTAGATTCTCAGTAAATATTTTCCTCTTTTGTCAGTGAAATGGCTCCATTACCCAGTTTTGAGCATAAGGGTGCCATACGTAGGGGGCCTTGAAAAGTGGTTGCTCAGTTAAATTTCATAGATGTCATACCTTTGGGAAAAGCAGGACAATTAAAAACAGTGAGAGGTTGCTTTGCGTAAGTTTTCTTATGTAACTTTCTCCACGCGTAAATTGGGTGGAATGTGTCATTTTCTTAATGCCCACTGATGATGGTGACAACTGAGGCTATCAGAATTGCTATTGCTGGAACTGGAGCTCTTAGCGGATAGGGAGCTCTCTGATGCCACCAGAGGGTACACACCCGTGGTTGTCCAATGTGGTGCAGGCTCTGGAATCAGATTGCCCTGGATTTAAAACCCCAAGCGTATATACTTTTGTAGCTATGTGATCTTCACCTCACTGGCCTTATAAAGGCAGAGTAATAATAGTACTTACCTCACAGGGTTGTTAGAGGAGTATAAATGAGCTAATATTAACAAAGTACTGAAACAGGTCAGCACTGTGTCAAATAATAAATACTTAAAATTGGGGATAACGTTACAGCTTGATAAGACGGTTAAATAAGGATATATGAAAACAAGTGCATGACAAGGGCGTAATAAATATTAGCTATTGTTAAGTCTACAAATTGTCTCAAAGGTGAGGCCGTTAAGAGAGAGGGTGGGGTGGTTTGCAGGCTGATGCTCTGTGCCATCCAAGGAAAGGGGATGCACTGTCCAGCCTCCGTCTGAAACAATAATTCAACCAGGTAAGAACAGCAGAAAACCACAGATAGTTCCAGGAGTCTCTGGAGCAGAACTTAACTGTTTAACAATTGACATTTCTTATCAAGCCGGCGCTTGGCAAGAAACCTCAGTATCTCCGATGAGCCTGAGGGATGGGTTCCCTGCCTGGAGTCCCAGTGTCCTGGGCTTACAGAGTCGCAACGAGACAGCGGCCGGGGCAGCCCGGAGCCCGGCTGAGGAAACCGCCTGGAGGAACCTCCTCAGCTCCGTGGTTCCGAGTGCCTTGGCGCACCACGTGACGCAAGCCTCGTCCCACGTGACCCAGGCACAGTGCTCGCGGCCCCGCCCCCTTCCAGCGACCCGCGCCGCTTCCGGCAGGGGCGGAAAGCGGAAGTGTGGGAGGGTCTTCGGGGCGGGCTCGGGGAGGTCCCGGGGGAGATGGGGCAGTGAGCGGGTCTGGGCGGCTGCCCGCAGCGACATGGAGACGGTGCAGCTGAGGAACCCGCCGCGCCGGTGAGGGGCCACCGGCCGAGGGGAAGGGGGTTGGGCGGGAAAGGCGGGAACGGGAGGAGGGAAGACAGCCGTGTGCGAGCCCCCGGAGGGAATGGACCACCGGGACGAGGCGACCAGGCTGATGCACCTGCGAGTGCCCCCGCGCCTGGCGGGTGGGGGTCCGGCAGAGGGGACCATGGGCCTTGGGGATAAACGTGGGGCTGGTTAGGGAGAGCCCGTGCCGTGGGGGGACATCCTGGCGGAAGGGGGGAACCGATGAACGGAGCAGCCGCTAAGAAACGTGGGGACAAGTTAGAAGAGCACCTGCTGAGACCGGGGGGCCTCCGGGGGAAGGCTCTCAAAGGGACTCTGAGGTAGGCGGAACCCTGCAACCGATGAGTCCCTGCGAGGAGTCTGCCCAAGGGGTGGGTGGGGAACAAGCAGAGAGGAAGGCTGGTGGACTTGAGGGAAGGGTTTCTCACCTGAGGGGTGCAGTGGGGAGGATCTATTGAGGGGAAGAGCTTTGCCCCAAGGCTGAAGTTGTGGCAGGAAAGGTTGAAGGTTCAGCAGGGGAGGGCTTCGTGGAGGATGGCATGTTCTTGGTAGTGTCCCCACTCAAGGATGATGCTGGCGTCTTTCATTCCTGATGTGGAGTGCCTCCCTAATTTTCCTCACGTCCTTCTCTGCTCTTGAAAGCTGACATTGGAAGGTAGATAAGAAATGAAGATATTTTCAAGATGGGCAAACAGACCCAGAAGTTGAGATACGGTCTTGTGTGTTTCCTTCTTTGCTCTAGGTCTGGGTCACTGGACCCAGCTTTTATTGTTTTGTTGAGCATCAGCTGCAGATCCTGCTGCTACCTGGAATGTTTTTTTTTTAAGTCTAGATCAAGGAGGCTGCTGATCGTAGGTGTGGAACTGCTGGGCTGGTTGCAGTTGTATCACTGCTTTACTCTAGGGGTCCTATGTCACTCTGCCACATTTGGAGAAAAACAGACAGTGAAGAGAGTAATGCTTCTCTGAGGTGCAATGTAGTTAGCTTCTGTTTCACCCAGACCTCTGACTTCCTGCAGCAGAATGAGCTCTAAAGTAGGAAGTGTTCAGTGTGTGGGAGTGCAGGGTAATGGAGAGGGGAAGGGAAGGGATGGATAGCCTGGGTTGCACACTTGGAGTTTGTTTGAAGTGCACAGACACTTTAAAGGCAAATATCTGGTTAGGGTGGGCTCATAATTCATCCTACTTTAGTGTGCTAAGACTGAAATAATGATTATTACACTTGTACAGCACTTCCTGGGTGCCAGACACTATTCTCGGTGCTTTTCATGTCCCCTGTTGAGCTATATGAAAGTGCTGATATTTGACCATTTTTGACCTATAAAATGATAATTTTGAATGACTCAAATGAATATTGACTCATTTGATCCAAACAGCAATTCTGTGAGGTGGTTATCTCTCTCTCTGTCTCTCTGTTTTACAGGTGATAAAGTAAAGGCATAGAGAGGTTAGTGATTTGCTGGAGGTCCAACAGTTCTTAACTGCCTCCCTCTGATGCCTCTCTGGAAGTACCCGTTTCACAGGGCCTTGTGTATGTTAAAAGATTTTACTATAGCACCATAGTGATCCAGTTATAAATGTACATTGGTTGGTTATATTTATATATGAAATATGTTCGTTTTTTCTCTGGGGCTTTGGTTTAATTGAAAAGGATTAGTAATCTGAGTTTTGTTTATTCCTTTGCCTTGTGTTGTATAATCTTGGGCAGAAGAGTAAGCTTTTTTTGCTCTTTGGCATACTTATTCCTGTACCTTTCAGATTTTAAAAAATGTATTAAATATGCAGGAGAGGAGCATTGCAGAGGTGAAATATTTAATGGCTGGTGCTTTTCTGCTCATCCTAACTAGGGACTGCCTGATTTGCTGCAGATTAAGTTTATTGTCCTTTGTATTAGTTTGTTAGGACTGCCATGTCAGTTTCAAAGACTGGGTCACTGAAACAACAAAAATTTATTTTCTCATGGTTCTGGATGCTGAAAGTCTGAGATCAAGGTGTCAGCGGTGCTATTTCTTCAGAGGCCTCTCTCCCGGTGTGTAGATTGCTGTCTCCTTCCTGTCTTCACATGGTCTTCTCTCTGTACCTGTCTGTGTCCCATCTCATCTTACAAGAACACCAGTCATATTGGATTAGGGCCGCATGTAGGACTTCACTTTACTTTACCTCTTTAGAGGCCCTGTCTCCAAATACAGTCACATTTGGAGGTACTGGGGATTAGAACTGCAACATAGGAATTTTAGCTGGGCAGGGGCTGGGGGACACATTAACTTTATTATCATTTAAAAAACTTAATCAACTTATGTATTTGTTGTAACCCATGTCAAATTCTTTGTGGAAAGAGGGATAGGCATGCATAAATAAAATGAACCTTATAAGAATTCAAAGATGGGAGAAAGAGGTTTGAGAATTAGCCAAACCTGTGAGTAAATATGTCATAAACACTTTTTTGCATTTGGAAAGATCCAAGTGTTTCTTCAGAGATTCAGATGGCATGTGTTTACAGCAAGGAATAGCAATCCCAATGAAGGAAATGATCCCTGTGTTCATGAGTTTGACATTTGTGTGTGACTAAGTGAAGGATGATAGATTAAAGCCAGTGGCTTAAGTAGGAATTCATGATTTAAAAAATGAGTTGCCGTTAAGCAGTAGTGTGGTGGAAGATGTAGAGTACATTTCTGGAATGCTGGCCATCCACGTGGCCATCTGACTTAAGAGGGGACCATCCACCCCACGGAATAGGCCAGGCTTATTCATTTATGAACAAGCAATGAAACTACCTAGGACCTGGGGACGTCCCCTCTGAGAGAGCTAAATTGTCAGAGTCAGCTGTTTCGGTTATAGTGCTGCTTCCAAGAAGACTCATGGTATAAAATGTTATTAAGTCATTCATCAAAAGCTTTTCTACTAGAAATCTTATTTGTTGATAATCAGGTAATACTTTTTAGGGTGAAATTATGTTTTATTTTGAAAACTTGCGGAGATCGCTGGTAAAGGTTTATGATTCCCATCATTACATTCATTAATCCATTAGCAAATATTTATTGATCACCTCTGGATTATCAGGCACCAGAGATAACAAAGGTCCCTTAATACCAGACCAAAACTAAAAAATCACTTGGATTCTTTTAAAGAAGCATCTGAGCATTCATACAAAGTTTGTCTATTATCAGAGGCCTGCAGCTGTCTCTGACATGGCAATGGCAGTTTCCTTTGTTATGCTGGGGTCTTTGTAGTAATTGGAAAAGTGTTTTGCCGTTTGTAGACCACAAAGTCAACACACATTTGATCTTCCTTTATATAAGCTTTTTATAGAACTTTAATTACACTTGAGAAGTGAGGTATTGTCCATTGTTTATAGTTAGGAATTCAGTGCTTCTAACTTGTGAGTTCATGGAAATTTCACTTCTGAAGTTTAAGGGGGGTTTCACTTCAGCCCTTTTTGTTTTGAAACTGGGAGTGTTTATGATGTCACTGGAATTTAATTTTTAGGACCTTTTCATTTTAAAAGGTCAGTGTGGTCATTTCATTAGTTTTCAAGTCATGGCAAGCATTGACATGGAGCAGTTCTCCATTTGTCTAGTACGTAATTTGGTACATTTCTCTAGTGCAGTACTGATAAAATTCTATATGATTGTCCTTTTGAGGTCAGTGTTTATTGGTGGATACACTTGATATGTTCGAGGGTTTGTTTGTTTTTTTGTCTTCTGGTTTTGCTATTTCGTCTAGAAAGGTACAAATTTGTGCATGTGTCTGTGTAAGTTCAAGTTTTTTATTGTAAAAATTGGCCTTCTTTTCAGTTTAAACCTTTTTCTTTACAAAGAAATCTCCAGTGTGACTACCGTATTTCACCATTTCCTGAGCTCTCTTTTCTTTGTTGTCCTTTTGTAGTTTCAGGAAGCCACGTGTGGAAGATATGTACACACATATTTCTTTGCAAGCTCCTTCCTTAAGCCCATGGATTTTCAGAGGTCTCAATGTTTTAAAAAAATATTGTTATTTATAACCTCCCATGTTTGTTATGGTTGTTGAGCATAGTCAGAAAAATCTGAATTATCTGGAATTTGTAAGCAGCCATATATCTGATTTTAGGACTGGTCAGAGGTACATGACTGCTCGTGGGAGAGGCTTTGTGAGACCGAAATTCCCAGCTGCCTAGTTATTTTTCACTTTCAATCATGTCTAAGTGTATACTTTATACTTTCTGTTTCTGTGTTACCTATAGAATCCATGTGTTTTCACAAAATTACCCAAATCTTGCTTTTGGGGAGCAAAATGTCTTCTATGTCTTCCTTGGCCTCCTGTCTTAAGACTGTCTTCCAATTCATAGTTAACCTTACAGTAAACATCTTTTCTGAGGAGATTTTTATGCCATTTTAATTCTTGGTATCTCCAGATTTAAATGGATTTTAAAGGCTATATCTAATCTAATTCTTGAGTCCACTTTATAGCATTTCAGCCACATGATGATTGTTTAAATTCTCCGATGATGGGGAGCTAGGGACTTCTTAAGGCACTCTAAACCATTTTAGAATAACTTGTGTTAGAAAATTCTTATACCTGTTGAACTGAAGTCTGTCTTGGTAGCAGTTTACCCTGTGGTCCTGATTTTGCTCATTAAGCTGACCTAGGACCCCTATAATACTTCCATAGAACAGTCCTACAGCATCCCATAAAAGTCTCTTAGCTTGCCATTGGTGTTGTTTACTAGTAAAGACTTTGTAGAGAAATTTCTAAGGTGCTAAATAAATAGTGTATTTTGTGGTCTAGTTGCTACCAAGTAAACAGTATGTCATGGTTTTATTTCTTCATTCACAGGCAGCTGAAAAAGTTGGATGAAGATAGTTTAACTAAGCAACCAGAAGAAGTGTTTGATGTCTTAGAGAAACTTGGAGAAGGGTGAGTGTACAGAATATAGAGGTAGACCAGTAGGATGCAGTCTTTTCTTTCCCACAAACCAGAAGGATATGAACCTTTGTCCTGGCAGTAATTCACAGACCTAAGGAGAATGGCAAATGTTGCATGTTGGTACTATTCTGGGTGGGATGGGAGGTAAATTTATAGCTTGATATGCCCTTTCCCTTTTCCCCCTAATAACCATTAGAAACAGATTTGGTGATTCCTGGTCTTTGTAACACCAAGGACATTTGTTGTTTTCTCTCTTGTAGAATCCATGGATTATATAATTTTATTTATTTAACAGCACTAATTGGTTTATACTTCATTAAACATTTTTATTAATCAGCCATTTTTATGCACTGGTCATAGTTTCTGATCAATAGGCAATAACTGTTGCTTCAATAAAAAAACAATACAATTCAACATTTTAGTTAGTGCAGCTTTGTCTAATATAGGAAGTGAACCAAGGACTGTCACTACTTCCACAGTTTCCTAAGAGATCCAGAATCCTGGTCTGGGAACCAGGGGAGTTCTTGAGACACAGGAGTTGTGAATAAGTTTATAAAATACTGGTGAAATGGTATTTAACAATGGAGAGTGGCTGTCATTGACTTTCATGATACAGTAAAGGCTGCAGCATAACTTTTTGTACTTTTCCATATCCTTTTAATTTAAATCCTTTGTGTTTATTTCTTTTTCTGTAATGACCAGGGCATTAAAATATTAGGGACACCCTTTCTTAAGTTTTTGTTGTTAGTTTTTGAATAGGTAACCAATATGTATGACAGAGTTCAAAAAGCATTAAAATGTCCATAGTGAAAGAAATCTTCCCCTTACCTCTGTCTCTCAGCTACTCAGAAGCAACCAGTATAGCAGTTTTTTGTGTATCCTTCAGAGTTGGCTTATGCATATGCCAGCAAATAAATTGTGTGTGTGTGTGTGTGTGTAGTCTCTTCGTAGTACTAGTTCAAGAGAAAACCTGAAACACTAACTTTTAAAAATGTCTGTTGTCTAATTACTGTATGCTCTTTAAAATCAGGCTTCTGTGTTATTGGATTGCTGTGGGGTTTAGTGTTATTTGTGTCTAATGTAGATCAACCATAATGTTAAACCCAATACTGGATTACATGGAATAGATTTTCGTGGATCACCTCCCTTGTAAAAAACATTAGTCATCATCTTTTTGTAAGTTGGAAAAGTACAGTTTGGAATCAAGCAAGAAATCAAGCAGAGAAGGGAAGTAAAAGATGACACCAGCTGTGCTGCTAAAGGACAAGTGTGAGATGAATCCAAGGCTGCAAGTTGGCTTGGCATCATCAAAGGTATGGAAAATAACAGTCCCTCTCCATCTCTTGTCTGCCATTTTCAGCTTAGGCTTGTTATTCTTGCTATTTTCCTCAAGGAACTGTGCTTACGACCTTTAATCTAACAGTGCTCACAAGTTAGCTTTGAATAAGATAAAGAGTGGTAGGCATAGTTGGCTATGTAACTAACTGGTTTATTTCATTTTTAGTAAAAGTGTGTTACAGTAGTAAGAACTGACTCTGAAGTCAGACAGACATGCATTGAAATCCTTCCTCTACTGTTCATTAATGATAATAAGCAAGCAAGCTTGAGCAAATTGCTTAATATTTTGAAGCTTCACAAGCCTCAGCTATAAAGTGGGCATATTACTGTCCCCTGCATAGGATTATATCAAGTATCACATGAGATAATGGGAGAAAAGTACTTAGCGCTTGTCATATAGTAGGTGCCCAGTAAATGTCAACTATTATTATATTTTTAAGTGTATCAGCTGAAGCATTTTTCAGACCTTATCATGTCAAATCAATGTTAAATCTTAAGTCTTCAAGTAGGTTTTCTTGAAAGGAGCTCTGTTTGGGTTGGCTGGGTTTGGGGAATGTCATAAAACTAGACAGAGAATATATCAGGAGTATAATGTAAGGAAAAACTAAGCTAATTATGATTATTTTAAATTGTGTTTTAGATCTACTGATGTCTCCATCAAGGAACTTGGAAATTTCCCTATAAAGATGTCACCAGGGAGAAAACAAAGCTTCAGATCTTTCTCATTATCACCATATTGTTCTTTTAAATGATACCACAGATTTTTGGATTTCTATCATGTCTGAATGAACTGAGCTTCATTTAAAAGCAACATCCTGAAGGAAAACCTCACTGCACTTACTTTATAAATACAAGCTGCCATGCCATCTTTAAATTATTTTGGAAAATGAATGGATTGTGAACTTTCACTGACTTATGCCTTGTGACATGAGCTCTTGCTGAGAGACTGTATTGAATTCTGGAAGTTGCAGTCATTCTGTGTTTTGCACAAATTTTTTGGATCTGTGGCAGAGTAGAACCAGAGCTCTAGAGCAGGATGAGTGGCCCACACTTGGAAAGTGTTTTGAATTAGAGCCTGGCACCTTTTTTCCTTCTGTTATACTTTATAAAGTCTCACACATTGACTCATTTAAGTTTTTTATCAGCGCATAATGACAAAACATCTTGTCCATGGTTTCATAGCTAGTGACTAGTATCATTAAGACTTGTACCTGGTAAATATGGCTCCAGATACTGTCTTACTTCTATTTTTCTGCATTGATCCTTGCCTTGTATGCCTTGGATGAAACAACTACTTTCCACTTTCTTTGTTCTCTGTCAGTTAAAATTCGAGTCACAGCAGTATTCATTGTAGGGTATCAGGTCTTAAGGGGCTTGCACATAATTGCTAAAACCTTCTAAATCCTCTTCAGACTACTGTAAGTGCCATATGTGGAATCATGAATCTTAATTGTTCATATGAGTTAATGGAGTTTTCTTTACTACCACGATAGCATAGGGAAACAGAGAGTGCTCTGGTCAAGATTGTCAAGATTTCTGAGTGAGTACATACAGAGACCTTTCCTTTCCATGCAAGTATATAAGAATAATGAATGAAAATTAATATTTTAAATATAAGGACACATAGCCAGCTATCAACCAGGCATAGAAAAGGTATCTGTAATAGAGGAGGGTAAAACAGGCACTGTCCTTGTTGGGAGATCACAGGTGGCTTCCAACATGAAGTTGTAAGCTGGGACGAGACTCCCCATTTGTGAACTAAGACTGAAGTAAATTTGCCCAATCTCTACTAGGAAGTATCATTTGCCTGTGGCCTGGGGAAAAAGCCAGAGGTACTATTATGACAATAAAAACTTTGCCTGGACTACATCTGTGTATGGTATCTTGAGGGGCAAAAACCCCAAACTCCTAATCCAAGAACTGATTAAATTGTATAGCTTAGATCATTGGGCTGAGGGAACCATGAAACCATCATGACATCACAAAATGCTTATTAAGTTGAGCATTGTATAGAGGAAAATCATTTATTATAAAAGGAAACACATAAAAGAATCCACTGGCATGTAGTTATCAGCAGACCTAACGGGCGAATTCACATCCAAGGAAATAGAGTAATGGAGCAGTCCAAAAAGAGACTTAACATGTTTGTCTATGATTTTCAAAAAGATAAAAGGAGAGAATAACATCTTGAAAATAAGACGACAAGCTTATTAACATGAACAGTTAGCCCCATGAAAAAAAAAGTCGAGAATCTTGACAGTGGAAATTAATTTTAAAAGCCCAGTAAATTGGATAAAGAGTAAACTATGCAAGCTGAAAACAATTTGTGAACTGAAAGATAGAAATGAGACCGATCGCAAAATGCAGGACAGAAAAAGTGTTAGAAACCAAGAAGACAACACGGATTGAGGAGGTCCAATAGGAATTCTAGGAGATATTAAAAGAAATAGAGGGGCAGTAAAGAGAATGCTGAGTATTTTCCACACTTGTGCCTTCAGATTGAAGAAGCTTATGAAGTGCCAAGTAGAGTGACTGCTACTTGCAGTAAAATTGTAGAGTGTTAAGGATAAAGAGGAAATCTTTAAAGCTACAAAAGGAGAAAGTACTTATGAAAAATTATAATCTGATGATAGCTGTCTTCTCAGCAACAATACTAACTGGAAAACAGTAGAAGTGCTGAGGGAAAGCTATGGTCAAAGAATTCTATATCCCACAAAACCCACTCCAAAGTAAAGGTGAAATAAAGACATTGTCCACATATGGGACCTAGTGTATCAGGAATAATTTTGGATGAAAGTAGCAGAATACCTAGCTAACATTTGCTAACCAATAAGGTTGATTAATAACTAAATGATAATAAATCTGGAGGTGAAAGATTCCAGAGTGGTTAATTGGCTTGATAATGGTTTAGCATTTATGTGATTCTCATAGTCACAAGATGGCTGCATTAGTTTCAAGCGTGATGCCTTACATGACAGTAACCAAAGCAGGAAAGGAAGTGCAGGTGAAAATGGGCCTTCTTGTGTGCTTCTCTTATCAGGGAAGAAAGTCCCAGGAACCCTTCAGCAGAATTCCCCTCAAACATAATTGGCCAGAACTAGATCATATGTTTGCTACTAGTTAAGTCACTGACAAAGGGAATAGGAATACAGTGACTAGTGTGAACCACCATGATTTATTCCCTGGGACTAAGCATTTGTCACCTAACAAGTTGGGATTACCTTAGCAAGGAAGAAGGACAGTGGTTGGGTCTCCCATGTGGTCAGCAGTTGTCTTTCTCTGGCAAAGAAAAAAGTTGTATAACATTTAAGGATCATCATACTAGTTTTGCTAATATAAGGAATGGAGTTTTTTATGTGCTTTATATAGACTTAAAAATTTTTTATGTTACTTTCACATTGAGACAATTTTTCTTATTAAGGTTTTACTGATATACTCTTATGAAGGTTTCACATGAAAAAACAATGTGGTTACTACATTTACCCATATTATCAAGTCCCCACCCATACCCTATTAAAGTCACTGTCCATCAGCGTAGTAAGATGCCACAGATTCACTATTTGCCTTTAAATTGAAACAATTTTTGAGCATCATTTTGGCAGCTAGAACACTGAGCTACTTTGATATATTAGGTGGCACTGTTATTTTGATCTCTCTTCAAGAAAATATGAAGAAACAGGTGTGTTTGGGAAAGATGAAAGGCAGTTTACTCATTATTATTTCACTGACAGATATCCAGGTTTCCAGTGAAAATGTAAGATGATGATATCTCATTTGACCATCACTATTGTCTTGTAAACAATTGTACATTTTATAGATTGTCATTTTATTCATATTGTCATTTACAATATTACATATTGTCATTTTAGATGAGAAAATTGAGGCACAAGGTTAACAATATGTCTATAAAAGACAGCTAATACGTACTGATGGCAGGACTCAAATCCCAGGTCTAAATCTAATGCTCTTAGCTCCCAAATTGAATGGATCATAAGCTTCTTATTTATTTGATAATACGTTCTTAAGGAAAGCTGCAGGAAAAGGCAAGAAGGATTTGTATGTGCTCTGTTCATGTGACATTAGTATTTGAAGATTCTTAGATTTTTAGTTTCCATAATTTTTTAAGTATTGCAGTAAGAGGAACAAGGACAGAAATAACTCATGTTACTAGAGTGAACACAGGAAAACAAAGACCTCTCCTTCCACAGTATGCCCCAGCGTAGATGTGGAGAGACCATAGGCTTTGTATTCAGACATGCCTGGATTCAGATCCTAGAGTGACCACTTATTTATCACTTACGTGACCTTGGGCAAGTTGTGTAACCTCTCTGATCCTTTTCACATTTACCTGTAAAACAGGGATGATGACCTTGTCTTCATTGTTTTTTAGTAAGATGAACTGAGATGACACAGTTTCTAGCAGACATCAGGCATGCAATGCATGGTAGCTACTCTAATAATTATTATTTAATGCTAATGCATTCAGTAAAGTTTTAATGTGAAATTTTTAAGATGCCATTTTGTGGTAGTTCTCTTAATGACCAGTCTCTTTTCCAAAGTACCTTAGCTCTCTCAGGCTTGCCATTGTGGCTAGTATATATGTATTAAGCACTTTGGGATATAAATTAAAACTGTGAGTTGTTTGTGTTTTGCCACTTTTTATCTCTTGGTTTGCTTTGACTTTATAGATGTTCTCCTTCCCCCAATTACAGGTCCTATGGCAGCGTATACAAAGCTATTCATAAAGAGACTGGTCAGATTGTTGCTATTAAACAAGTTCCTGTGGAATCAGACCTGCAGGAGATAATCAAAGAAATCTCTATCATGCAGCAATGTGACAGGTAAAGGCATGTGGTGTGTTTTCAAGAACATGGTTTTGGATTTGCTCTTACTATTTAGTTTGATACCTGGAGATCTAAGTTTACTTGGATATTTTGAAGAAGGGAGAGTTTACTGAAATGTCCTTTTCAGAAAAGAAAATATGATGAAAATGTTTGTGTTTTAGTAACTGAACTTTTATGATTTCTATGTCTGCATAGGGTTTTTTTTTTTTCACTAAGACTTTTTCAAAACTAGGAAGAAGAGGCAGAAAGGCAGAAGGTAATGCTAGCTTTTTTTTTTCGCTGATAATGATCTCTCTTACTTGCTACTGATAAGACATTTCTGCAGAGACAACTATGAAGAAATCACTCAAATACTTTTAGCTCTAGAAGCCTTAGAATATCAGATCTGTAAAGAAGATATTTATTTATATTCTACTGTTCTTTCACATTTAAAAAGTATTATTCACTAAGTATAGTTAAGAATTTTATTTTTGAGGAACTAAGATTTGTCAAGTACTGTAAGCAGGAAGTTAGGCCAACAGGCAACCACAGAAAAGCACGTGGTTAGCTCTGAAATTCCATGACAACGGGGTGGGTCCCTGTGATGAAGCAGGCATCCTCAGTACCACTCAGATTTGAGAGAAACACAGCCCTAGAGAGCTGGAAGGAGAATGAAAAAGCCTTGCACTTGAGGCTGCATCCATTCCTCTGAAGGTCTTGGTTAGCAGATCCATTTAGCAGCTCCTCTTCATAAAGCTTCAACATTAAGGCAGGTGGGGCTGCCTACTCAGAAATATTAAGAACATGGTTTTGGATTTGCTCTTACTATTTAGTTTGATACCTGGAGATCTAAGTTTACTTGGATATTTTGAAGAAGGGAGAGTTTACTGAAATGTCCTTTTCAGAAAAGAAAATATGATGAAAATGTTTGTGTTTTAGTAACTGAACTTTTATGATTTCTATGTCTGCATAGGGTTTTTTTTTTTTCACTAAGACTTTTTCAAAACTAGGAAGAAGAGGCAGAAAGGCAGAAGGTAATGCTAGCTTTTTTTTTTCGCTGATAATGATCTCTCTTACTTGCTACTGATAAGACATTTCTTCAGAGACAACTATGAAGAAATCACTCAAATACTTTTAGCTCTAGAAGCCTTAGAATATCAGATCTGTAAAGAAGATATTTATTTATATTCTACTGTTCTTTCACATTTAAAAAGTATTATTCACTAAGTATAGTTAAGAATTTTATTTTTGAGGAACTAAGATTTGTCAAGTACTGTAAGCAGGAAGTTAGGCCAACAGGCAACCACAGAAAAGCACGTGGTTAGCTCTGAAATTCCATGACAACGGGGTGGGTCCCTGTGATGAAGCAGGCATCCTCAGTACCACTCAGATTTGAGAGAAACACAGCCCTAGAGAGCTGGAAGGAGAATGAAAAAGCCTTGCACTTGAGGCTGCATCCATTCCTCTGAAGGTCTTGGTTAGCAGATCCATTTAGCAGCTCCTCTTCATAAAGCTTCAACATTAAGGCAGGTGGGGCTGCCTACTCAGAAATATTCCCAGGAGCCCTGAAGTCTCAGGGGCTTGTCAGTGCAGCCATTTCTCTTCTCCCTCCCTCCCTTTCTGATATTATTTATACTTTTGTGGTTACTTTCTACTAGGCAAAACCCCCCGTATTTCTCGAATGGATTGACCAGAATAAGGTAGTAGTTTTCCTTTTTCTCCTTTATAAGATACATTATGGAAGCTCTTTCCAGTTGACAGATTGGGACCTTGCCATTTTAATAGACTATACAAAAGCTGTGTTCCAGGGTGTGCAAATTAGTGTGTCTCTGATTAAAAGGAGAGTTATTTTGAAGAGCCCACTCTGTGCTAAGCACTGTAAGGAATACAAAGAAATGGAGATCAGAGTTCTTGTCCTCTGGGCGTTTATAGACTGACTGGACAAGCCAAGCAGATACATGGACAGGGAAATCTAGCTGACAGTATAAGATAAAATAGAATGCATTCCAACGGTAAGTACCTGACAGTAATTCCCTCAGAGAGACAGTAAATACTATAGGAATTTAGGGAAGGGCGAGCAGATGTGATAATCTGTATCTTAAGAGACTTATTCATACATTTCTTTATTGGTAGTGTGTGTGTGTGTTTTCCTGCTCTCCTTGTCATAAGCATGTTTCCCAAGGATGAAGGGGAATTTGAAATTCTGAGAGTTAATAAGGCTAAGTTTGTTTTACCATCTTTAGTTATTGTGTGACATTATTTAGCACTGATGACCATCTAGCCATTTAAAGCTGGTAGCTCTCAGAGGGCAAATTATTTCATTGTAATGGGATGTTTGATTTTTCTCTGAAATTTCTCATTTGGTAATTCCAGGTCTGATCTTGAATTTATTTTCTTCACTATAGGTTATAGTGTGATTTTTCTTCTCTTCTTATTACAAAGTACATGTGACTTCTTGGGAAAATAGAAATAAAAAGAAAATAAAATCACTTTCCCTTTGGAGAAGTAATCATTGTTAAAAACTGCCTGGTACATATATTGTTCCATATCTCTTTTTGGAGTTTTACTACACTTAGTATTGTGTAACCTGTGCTTTTTTTTTTCTTTCTTTTCTTGGGGAGATAAACAACATATCTTCTCATGTTGTCAAATATTCTTCCGTAACATTTTCCATGGAATCGTGGTTATTCCAGGATATAGATAAATCATTATTTCTAAACTCCCTACTGTTGGACATTTAGATGGTATCTAAATTTTCACTGTTATAAATAACACAATGAGGGTAACTACTACTTCCTTTTGAATATTTGTAGTTCTTCTTTTAGGTTGAACTGTAGACCGAGAAATGCTAGGTTAAAAACCCACACATCTTTTGTGCTTTTGTTATGTACTGCCCTCCAAAAAAGTTACATTATTTTACTTTCTTATCAGGAGGGTGTTCATTTTAACCTTGAATATGCATAATTGATCTTTTGAGCTGTGAAATTAATTTTCATGTGTTTAACAGCATGAATTAATAGAGATGTTTGAAGGCTGTTCAACTAATTTGTATTGTCTCTCACTCTAGCCCTCATGTAGTCAAATATTATGGCAGTTATTTTAAGAACACAGACTTGTGGATCGTTATGGAGTACTGTGGGGCTGGTTCTGTGTCTGATATCATCCGGTTACGAAATAAAACGGTAAGTTTACCTTCTAGAACAATGCAGCTAGCTAGTTATTGTGTCTTCTTCTTTTCTCTGGCCTTTTTTCATTGTGCACTTTACTAAATATCTAGAGATATGACTTTCAGATTTCCCCTTTTCCATTGTTCATTCCCCTCTCTGCTTTTTGATGTCTCCTAAAAATGACACCAACCTAATCCAGTGAAATCTGGCATGCTTTGCTTATTTCTTACTGGGAAAAAAAATGACTGCCAAAACTTGGTTAAGCAATGAATTTTAAATGTTTAAATTTGGATTTTTTTCTTCTACCCACCATGTTCATAGACTATGCTCCTTTACATCCTATCAGTCAGCGAATAATCTCTGAGAGATTCTTTGCTCTTCCTGTGATTGCTGCGATAAAAGCTTGGAGTCATGGGTTCTAATTCAGATTCAGTTGCTTAGACTCTGCTTACTTATTCAGCAAATATCTCTACAACACTGTTCTAGGCCCTAGGGATCCAGTGGTAAATAAAGCAGCTACAATGCTCTCATGGTAGGACATTTCCTAGCAGGGCAACAAAAAGCAAATTAGTGGCAACTAGAGAAGAAACCTCAGATAGTGATTAATTACTATGAAGGAAATGAGTGAGGATCAGTGTAGAGAGTGCTGGGTGGGCTACTTGGGGATAGATGGCGGAGAAAGGTCACTGGGAGGTGATATTTGAAAGTTGAATGATGAGACTTTAGGACTTGTGAAAGAACATTCTAGGTAGGGAAATGGCCAGTGCAAAGACCCTGAGGCTAGAATGAGTTTGGCATGTTTGAGTGCTACAAAGAAGACCACTGTGACTGGAGGGGACTCGGTAAGGGTAGGAGATGAGGTGAGATAGGTGGGCAGGGCTAGGTTGTGTTTGGTATCATAGGCCTGATAGTAAAGTTGAATTTATTCCAAGTACAGTAGGAAACCATTGCTGGTTCTAAGCAAGTGAGTGAACAATCTGACTTATGTTTTAAAAACATAACTATGGTTTCTGCATGGACTGTGAGTGGGTGTGTAGAAGCAGGGGAGATCTTAGCATGTAGGTTTTTTTTGTGGTTTTGTTTTAATAAGAAAAATAGGAATAGTAATACCTATATTAAGTATTTTCATGATCGTGAAAATTAATTTAAATATGTGAAGGTGCTTTGTAGATAGTGAGGTGCTTTACAGATTGTAAGGTGGGACTATTTTAAAACTTAGTTATTACTCTTTTTATCCATATATACTAATATATCCTTTTCTTATTTCACATTGTTTAGAGTTCGTGTGTTTGTCTAGTCATACAGCAAGTTCTGTAGCTAGGAATAATGTCCTAACGTAATATATATTTAAAGAAGTCCCAAAACTCGAAAAATTTATTGAATTAAAAATTGGGTTCCAGGGCTACTTATATGCAGCATTAAGTTATTTTATTTCAGGTATTTTAAAACAATCAAAAATTAATTTTGGTGGTGCTTTTGATGTTTTTTCTGTTTTAATATTAGTTTTTTATATTTATGTCATTTTAAACTATTCTGTGCTAATCTTTAATTATTACACATTATTTTACAAAGAACTGTCCAGCATGTTTAGTCACTAGCCACACGTGGTTAGTGAAGACTTGGAATTTGGGTAGTCTGAATTGACATGTGCTTGTTATAAAATACCAGACTGTGGAGAATTATTACCAAAAAAGGGACATAAAAAATCTTCAGTTTTTTTGCATATTGATCACATGTTGGAATGATGATATTTTGGATAAATAAGGTTAAATAAAATATATCATCAAAAATTAATTTTCCTTGTTTCTTTTTTCTTTTTAAATGTGGCTACTAGAAAATTAAATGTTATATTTGTAGCTCACATTTTATTTGTCTCGGGGTGTGCTACCTTAACTAATAATTAGCTCAGCTGATTAGAGTGAGGAGTCAGTAAGCAAGTCGGGAGCTTTGTTCTCTTTGGCCATAGAAAGTGCCCCACACTCTAACTTGGAACCTTGCCAATAGTGTTTACTTAAACTTTAGAGGAAGCTCTATTCATTTATTAGCTTTGTGACCTTTGGCACAAATGACTTGTCTGTGCTTCCGCTTCCTTATCTGTAAAATGGTGATGGTAATAATAGTATCTGTCTCATTTGATTTTTATGAAGATTAAATAAGATTACAAAAATCGTGCCCAGCATAGATTAATTACTTAATAATTGTTAGTCATGTTTAATATGGTTAGCATAGTGCCTGGCTCATAATGGATGCTTATTACATATTTGTTGATTGATTGATAGTGTAGTAGTTATTAAACCATGTGTATTCTTACATGCTTTATGTCATTTGATTTTCATGACATTCTTGAAGAAAGATGATATTCCTATTTTATAGATTGAGAAACTGAAACTAGGAGAAGTTTGATAACTTGCTTAAGTCACATAGTTAGAAAGTAGACCCAAGTGTAAAACTAGGTCTTTCTAATCTCAAATCCATATTTTTTGCACCATAGCACATTTCCTTCTAAATGTGAGTTGTTTGTCACAAGGGGACTAATGGAGAGTTTGTTGATTGATTGAGTTTGTTCAGGAGTGGGCTTGGATCTGCACAAAGTCAACACTGGACTGATCAGATACTTGATGTCAAGCTCCAGCATTCTTGCTTTCATTTATTCATGATTATTCAACAGATATTTTTTCAGGACCTATTATGTGCCAAATGGCTTTCTTGGTGCCAGGGACGCAATAGTAAACAAATCAAAGACATTTTTAAATGGAGTTTATGTTTCTAGTATGGAAGACATCACATAAATAGATATATAAATAATGTATAATATGTCAGGTAGTGATAATGCCGCTTGACCAATAAGGTAAGATTAAGAGATAGAGAATGATTTAGGGATGGAAATGCTAGGGAAGGCCTCTCTGATTTTCTGATGAGGTGACATTTAGGCAGGCAGTGAAGTAAGGGACCCAAGTTGTACAGAAATCTGGATGAAGAGCATTGCAGAGAAAACATCAGATTGAAAGGTCCAGATGTGGCAATATGTTTAGTGTCCAAGGAACTGCAAAGAAGCCCACGTGGCAGAAATAGAATGAACAAGGTGGAAAGTGGTAGAAGATGAAGGTAGCTTGGAGCCAGATCATGTAAGACCTTAGTGAGGATTAGCTTTAATTTTGAGTGACTTAGGGAGCCATTGGAGGGCTTTGAACAGATCTGGCTTACATTTTAAAAGGTTCATTATGGCAGCTGTGTGGAAATACATTTAGAGGGTCAAAGGCAGGATATACTGGCAGCTTGGACTGGGGTGATTACAGATATATTTGGGTATATTAAAGATACAGAAGAGCCACAGGTGACCTCAAGGTTTTTGGCTAGAGCAACTGGAAGAATGAAGTTCCCTTTTACTGGGAAGAGTGGAGTAGGTGGGCGGGTGGTAAGGAGAGGGGTAGGATGGCAGTAGAAATAAAGAATTTGATTTTGACATGTTAGGCTTATGATGCTTGTTAGGTGTTCAGTTGGAGATGTTGTGTAGGCAGATATATATGAATCTAATATTTGGGGAGAGATCTGGGCTGGAGATAAAACTTTGGGAGTGGTCATCATAGCAATTGTATTTTAAGCTGTTAAATGCTATTCACAGGTTGATATCTCATATTTGTATTCTAGCCAAGGAGCTTGATCTAATTTTTTTTTCTTTTTCAAATGTGTTGATGTAAACTGATTGAATTTTAACTTCTCATTCTTTTTTCAGTTAACAGAAGATGAAATAGCTACAATATTGCAATCAACACTTAAGGGACTAGAATACCTTCATTTTATGAGAAAAATACACCGAGATATCAAGGCAGGAAATATTTTGCTAAACACAGAAGGACATGCAAAACTTGCAGATTTTGGGGTAGCAGGTCAGCTTACAGTAAGTAAAAACGTTACATCTATCAGTGAACTTCCAGCCTTGTCCTGAGAAGGAATTCCTTTTATTTATTTATTTTTAAAAAATAATACTTGATTTAACTGTTATTAGTAGAAAGATTACAGAAGTATCAACAGGTTACAAAAGAAATACTAAGTTATTTTAGATCCTTGCCTAGGGTACAGGTCCCATAGTTTGGCTTTGCTTAACTTTAATAAAAATAAAAACACAAACAAGAAGTGATAGAGCAGAAGTTCAAATTCTACTGGGCTTCATATTTATAAAAGGAAAAATTCAATCCAAATTGCTTTCCTTGAATAAGACAAAATGTCATCTTATTCAACCTCCAGGTAGGTGGCAGTTAGTCTATTGAAAACACTCTTCTCTCCTGGTTCCAGAATGCAGTCTCTTGATTCTCCTTCTACCTCACTGGTGCATGGCAATGAAAAACCCATGTTTTTAAACAAAGTCTGAAAGTACCTGATTTTGTAAAATGCATAAGTATATATATGTAGGAAAATGGAAATGGTTCTAGACAGGTATATTCTAAAATTTGCTACAGCATTATAGATCAAACAGTTTTCTTGGGTGGTAGAATAAAACATGTAGTTTAGAACTGGTAGTTTGTACAGTTTGTATTTTAAATCTGCCTGGAACATGTTAAGGAGTATCGTAGGTATTACAATAGTACAAAAATGGCTTTGATGTTAAAAAAAATCAAACTTATTCCATATTGTGATTTTTTGGGCCCTTCAAAAGATTTTGTTGTTAACATATAAATAACCAAAATATTATCTAAATTAAAATCTTTTTTTGTTGACATGTAGTTGATATACAATATTATGTTGGTTTTAAATATACAACACAGTGGTTCAGCAGTTATCATAGTATTAAATCATCAGCTCCACTAGTGCAATTACTATCTGTCAGCATAGGAAGATGTTACAGAATCATTGACTATGTTCTCCATACTGTACTACCATGATAGACTTATATTATGATTGAGATTTTTGTGCTTCTTTATCCCCCTCACCCACAGTAACTACCAGTCACTTCTTAGTGTTTATGAGTCTACTGCTGTTTTGTTCGTTTTGTTTGTTTTGTTTTTAGATTACACCAATAAGTGAAGTCATATGGTATTTGTCTTTCTCCACCTGGCTTATTTTACTTAGCATAATACCCTCTATCCATCCATATCGTTGAAAAAGGCCGGATTTCTTTCTTTTTCAAGGCCAAGTAATATTCCATCATATATATGTACCACATCTTCTTTATCCATTCATCTATTGGTGGACACTTTGGTTGCTTCCGTATCTTGGCTATTGTAAATAATGCAGCAATATAAATTACAATCTTAATAAGGAAACCAAGTTGGAAAAAATTATTTTAGATCCTTGCCTGTGGTTGTATATGTAAGATATAATATTGCAGTTAAGAATATCAGTTGCATTTAGTAATAATTTTATTAATTAATGTTTCCCACAGGAAACAAAGATCCTAAAATTTATATGGAACCACAAAGACCTTGAATAGCCAAAGCAATCCTGAGAAAGAATAAAGCTGGAGGCATAACACTTCCTAATTTCAAATTATATTACAAAGCTCTGAAGTAATCAAAACAGTGTGGTACTGGCATAAAAACAGACACATAGACCAATGAAACAGAAATGAGAGCCCAGAAATACACCCATGCTTATATGGTCAACTAGTATTTGATGAGGGAGCCAAAAATACTCAGTAGGGAAAGGATGGTCTCTCCAATAAATGATCTTGGGAAAACTAGAAATTCCTATGGAAAAGAAATTGGACCCCTATTTATACCACTCACAATGATTAACTCAAAGTGGATTAAACACCAGAATGTAAGACTTGAGACTGAAAAATTCCTAGGACAAAGTAGGGATAAAGCTCTATGACATTGGTCTTTGGCAATGATTTTTTTGGATAAGACACTAAAAGCACAAGCAACAAAAGCAAAAACAAACAAGTGGGACTATGTTATGATTTTAGTTGGAATTATGGTGAATCATAAATCAGTTTGGGAAATATTGCCATCTGAATGATAGTAAGTATTCCAGTACATGAAAACATAATATCTTAACATTGATTTAGACCTTCTTAATTTCTCAGCAATTGTTTATAATTTCTAGCTTACAAGTCTTGCACTTACTTGGTTAAAATTATTCCTAAATAGTTTGTTCTTTTTGATGCTATTTTAAAGGAAATGGCTTCCTGTATTTTCAGATTGCTCATTGCTAGTGTATAGGATTATACTTGATTTTTGTATATTGTATCCTGAAACTTTGCTGAACCAATTTGCTTATTAGTTCTTTTTTTTTTAAACAATGAACATGTGTTGTTTTGCTAGAGAAAGAAATGAGGGTTTTTCTTCTTCACTAGAATAAAGTGAAACTATCATATAAGATATCTGGCTGGTTTGTTCTTTGGGGAAAACCTCCAGTGCTACGAGGTTTAGATTCCTTTGGTGCTTCTAAATTTGGATTTCCTCTCTGGTCTTTTGCCGAGAGGCTATAGTCCTTGTCAGTCTTCAGGGAAAAGGTGGTCATGGTGGGCATTGTTTTAGCATTTACCATATACACGCTCACTTCATGGTCCTGATTCACAATCCTACCACGCACTGCTGTCTAGAGATCATGGGTTTCATTCTTCAGAGAATATATCTGCATTCTAATATCAGGGCAGGGCAAGGGAAGCCCAGAAGTTGCTTGAAGAGAGAGATGGGTCTAAGCTTCTAAGTGTTTCTTAAAGGGCTTTCAACCGAATCTTGCATTTTTAGTTCCAGTTTCATCCCTCTTCTAGATAGCTGATGCCAGCAGTTTCTGAACCTTTTGGAGAGGTGTTAAAATCAGCTCTTTTCTTGGCTTCCCCAGCCAGCTGACTCAGGATTCCATTTTGACGGTCTGTTCAGTCAGTTACCACTAATCCATCTACTTTCTAGCTTACAAAAGTTTATAGCTGTGGGTTTTTTCCCCTTTATTTTTTGTTCTTGTGGATTTATTCCTTAAAAAAAAAATCCTTCTGCTGTCATCTTAGCAGATTTTGGAAGGGAGCAAGGTAAAGTGTATTTGTTCAATCTGTCATCTTTACCCAGAAATCTACAATATTATTTCTGATTATTACATGGGTATTTCATTGAATGACTGTACCATGATTTATTCAGTTCATCCCCTCCAGTTGGATGTTGGGGGCCCATGTAGGTTGCTTATAGTTTTCCCACCATCATAAACATACACTCTGTGATAAACATCCTTGCAGCTAACCTTTGCAGCATTTCCTTGAGTATATATATCCTTAGGATAATTCCTTAACATTGGAATCTGGCTCAGAAAAATATGAAATTTTAAGCCTTTTGATGCATATTATTGAAATGTTTCTAGAAGGAAATAATTTATGCTTCCAACTGCAGTTATAAATGTGTCCATTTTCCCTCATATTTGCCAGTACTGAATGAGCAATAAGTGTGTCTTACCATTTTAATGACAAGTAAATTTTTACATTTCATTATTGGCCATTTTTAATTCTTTTGTAAATTAACTGCTCATCTTATTTGTCAATTTTTCTAGTCATGTTGTACCTTTTAAAAAAATCTACTTGTTAGAAAAGATAAACCAAAAGTAAAAAAATACGTTAAAATTATTGATCATTTGTTACATGTATGTTGAAGCATCTTTTCCTAATTTACTAATAATTTTTTTTAATAAAGAAGTTTCCAAATTTTATATAGGGAAATACATCTGCCTTTTTAATGTTATGGTCTCTGCCTTTGATCTCATGGCTTTAAAGTGCTTTTCTGCTGCAGCATTATGTAACTGTTCATCTGTATGTGTTTTTTTTTTGGTATCGTTAATCTACAATTACAGTACGCATCAAGAGTTTAAAAAGTTGAAACCTGAATTCCACTTCAATGAAGGACATTATGTTTACTAGGCTCCCCCCTTCACCAAGTCCCCCCCACATCCCCGTTCACAGTCACTATACATCAACACATCTATATGTTTTTTTAGTAATTTTTGAATTTTGTGTATTTGTATCTAAATTCTCAACCTATTTGAACTTATTTTGGTAAAAATATAAGGTAGGAATTTAACTGTACAGTTTTACAAATGAACAGCTGATGCCCAGTGCTTTTTCTTTTCATATAATCTGTCCTTTGCTTGCTCATTTTTTTTTTAGTAATTTTTGAATTTTGTGTATTTGTATCTAAATTCTCAACCTATTTGAACTTATTTTGGTAAAAATATAAGGTAGGAATTTAACTGTACAGTTTTACAAATGAACAGCTGATGCCCAGTGCTTTTTCTTTTCATATAATCTGTCCTTTGCTTGCTCATTTGAAAGACATTTAACCGTATCTTCATATTATGTGTGTGTGTGTGTGTATATATATATATATCTCATAGTGTCTGGACTTAATATTTTCTATTGCTATGCTACTGTGCTAATATAACTTAGTAATACAGATCTAGCTGGGTTAGTATACATTCATTATTCTTAATTTTCAAAAAATATCTAGCTATCCAAACATCTATTTCTAATTGAAATAATCCTTGAAAACAACTCGGACACTACCATTTGAAAACACCCCAGCAAATTTAAAGTTTCAAAGCATAGGAAATGAGTAAGCAGTAAGTTAGTTCCTGTGTTAATTTTTTACATAGGTCTGACAAAGTAAGGTTGATTTAAAAATACTACCTGTCATTTGCTTCTGACTGGCAGAACCCAGCTTAAGCCACAGGCATTTCAGAAGGAACATGGGTTATGAGGGGAAGTCCTGTTGCATATTTAGTTCTGTTTAAAATCCTTCTGTTCCTAAAATGCAGGAACTCTAGGAAGGTTCTCTTTCATTGGAGCCATGCCATTCTGGGAAAGTATACAAGTAGTTATTTGCCCATGTGTGCTATATATCCATATATTATTCTTTATAACCCAGACTAAAATGTTGCTATTTTAGGATACCATGGCCAAGCGAAATACAGTGATAGGAACACCATTTTGGATGGCTCCAGAAGTGATTCAAGAAATTGGATACAACTGTGTGGCAGACATCTGGTCTCTGGGAATAACTGCCATAGAAATGGCCGAAGGAAAGCCACCATATGCTGATATCCATCCAATGAGGGTAAGGAAATGGACAAAAATCAGTTGGGTATTTAGTTACTGGTCATCATTCATGAGTTTGTTAAATGACTTTCTTGGTTAGGTACCAAACAATAAATGAATTAATTGTATATAATTGGTAAGTGTCAGTTTAGACTCCAGATGATACACGTAATACTAATTAGTTGAAGTGTGATCCACCCTCTCCATTCCAGAGGTTGTGTACTGACAGCCCTCTGGCAGGAATGGGCCATGGGTGTGGTTTGACTTGTGCAGTGTATGTTTTTTAATAGTTTAGATGCTCTCATTTTAGCATAGCAGCATGAACTGGAGCTGATTAGTGGTCCTGTCCATTTACAGAGCCTGAGATTTCTACTTTTATCAGTCTGCATGATTCCTTATTCACAAGTAGCACATATTGTGGTGTTTTCTCTAATATTTTTCTTTCAGTTTTTCTTATAGAGGAAAGCAAACAATTTTTTTGTTCCCATGTCACTAACATCCTGCCTGATTCATTTGTTGTCTTTTTCTCTTGCCTGGCACTTATAGGTATTTACATTTCTAAGTTCTGGTTTGTAGATGCCCAGCCTCTGTTCATCTGGAGGCTCTCTGTAGTCTCCAGTCTCCATCCACTTCTAGAGTATGAAGGGCCCACAGATTTGGTCTCCTTCAAGTGTCACAGCACTGTTAGAAGACCTCAACCCTGCCTTCCTCAGGAGCTCCGTGGTCCCCTCCAAACCTCCCAGCCTAGCCCTTCCTCTACTCTGATTAATTAGTTCTTCTATTAAACAACTTAACAGTTTTTAAAAAATACTCATGTGCCCAAAGATAAGCTCCTCTCTTTTTTGAGGGGCAGAAGTAGGGAAGGGTTGGAGGATTTACTGGTTATATTTTTAGATTTAAAAAATGTAATTTAATGTGCTAATTGCAGAGGTTTTTTTTTTAATGCTCGTCTTTCATTGGGAACATAGTAAATAATATATATATTTTAAAACAGTATAATTTAACTGCAGTGTAGTGAGCCAGTTTTTTCTCAGGTGTGTTGAATTGGCTTGGCTTGGAGATTAATGAACCCTTTGATTTTGGGGATTCCTGGGTTTATGATCTCCTTGTAGTCACTGCTTACATCCGGTGATGGTAGGAACTTTCAGGGAGGAGGGATATTTGACAACTGTGGGCTGTCTTCAGGATGTTGATGATCTTCGGTCTTGCCTTTTCACTTTGAAAGGCAATGTACTATAGTTGGCAAAATACAAAAAGAGTTTGGTGGATATTGTGAATTTTAGGGGACAAGAGTATACTTGAAGGAGGGAGAGGGAAAGAAAAGGGGGTGGAAAAGAGAGAGAGCTGTATCAGGTTCTTTACTTGACATGCTTCCTACTTTGAGATTCTTGGACAATGGATTTCTGTTGCAATTTAAATGGGCTTATTGGCAGATAAGGAAAAAAACATTTTATCAAATATCAAATTTATTCCTAGTCATATTTTATTGGAGCATCACTTCTTTTTTTTAACTAGGCAATCTTCATGATTCCTACCAACCCTCCTCCTACATTCCGAAGGCCAGAACTGTGGTCAGATAACTTCATGGACTTTGTGAAGCAGTGTCTTGTAAAGAGCCCTGAGCAGAGAGCCACAGCCACTCAGCTCCTGCAGGTAGGAATCGCCCTGAGAGGCGGCCTGTCTCCGTTTCATTCACATGCTGCCCAAAGGATGCTGTTAACCCATTTGGAAATGGTAAAGAAGCATAAGACATTCCTGGCCTCTAGGGAGGTTTGAGTCCAATTGAGTAGAAAAGACATAGAAAAGAACATTACATCATTGAACGAGATGACAGTGTAACAAAATACAGGGCTCTAAGAGAACGGGAATTGACATTTAGTGAGCGCCTACTGTGTGCTGGGTGCTTTGCACGTGATGCCATCTCATCATTGCATAAGGCCTGTGCAAGATGAGTATTATTTCAGTTTTACAAATGAGAGGTTAGAGGCTTAGGTGAGCTCATTTAGAGTCACTCAGCTGGTAAGCAGCAGAGCTGAGATTAGAACCTAGGTGTTTTTTTTTTTATTCCAAAGGAGCTGTACCATGGAGGCTACCCAGTTTTGACAAGGAACTGAGATTAGTGGTAGGTGGTGGTGTAGCTCATGATGGGAGGAAGCCCCTTTGGACTGGATACAAGGAATGCTTTCCTGGAGGAGGTAACCTCTGTGCCTGGACCTTGAAGGATGGGTTGGTGGGGTTTGACAGGCAGTGCTTAGTGGTTAGGACTTAGATTCTGGAGTCAGACTGCCCAGGTTTGAATCCTGGCTCCCTGCTGCTCTGGCCTTGGCCAAATGCCATAACCTCTCTGTTACTTTTGTTTTCTTAGCTATGAAATGGAGAAAAGTACCTGCATATGTTATGAAGAATAAGTGAAATAGTATGTGTAACTTTGAATAATGTATTGTTATATATTAAAGGTGGTATGAAATGGATTTGACAAATATCTGCTGCTATTGGGCTAGGCCAGTGGTTCTCAACCATGTCAGAGCCAATGCCCCCTTTTTATAACCAACATAAATATTTTTAATACTCTCATAACTGTTGTAGAATGAACAGTAGTTTAGACATAGTTTTAAAAGAATATATAATGTGTGTGATATAATAAAGATGATAATTTATAATAAAACACGTGTCAGTGTAAGAATGTGCCTGCTTGACTCAGCTTGCAGCTGAAATGAAGTAGTTAAACACTGTACTGGGCATCATGAGGAGTTTAGATTTAAGAGCAGAAAGAACAGAAACCATTCCATTCAAGGAAGTGAATGGGCGGACACTAGCATGAAACTGATGTTAAGTAATAGACCAGACTTATTTATATATGATAAGAGGAGAGAAATGATCTCACAGGCTTTCCAAGTGGAGAGAACAGGAAATATGATATTCTTGCAAATGAGCTGGGTCTTATTTCTAAGTGTGGTAGCAGACTTTTCCTGTCTGGATGTGGTATTGGTGAAGGCTTTTTGTCCTCCTTTAATTGAAGTGTCATTGATATACAATCCTATATTTGTTTCAAATATACAGCACTGTGGTTCAACAGTTACCCATAGTATTAAATCCTCACCCCTACTAGTGCATATTCTATCTGTCAACATAGGAAGATGTTATAGAACCATTGGCTATATTCTCCTTGCTGTACTACCATCCCCATGATAAATTTATATTATCATTGAGAATTGTTGTGCCCCTTTATACCCCTCCTTCTCCCCACTCCCCACCCTGAACCCTTCCCCATGTCACTTCTCAGGGTCTATGAGTCTTATACTGTTTTGTTCATTCTGTTTTGCTCATTCTGTTTTGCTTTGTTCTTAGATTTCACAAATAAGTGAAACCATATGGCATTTGTCTTTCTCCATCTGGCCTACTTCACTTATCATAATACCCTTTAGATCTATCCATGTTGCAAATGGCAGGATTTTTTTTTATGGCTGAGTAACATTCCGTTGTGTATATATACCACATCTTCTTTATGCATTCATCTATTGATGGACACTTAGGTTGCTTCCATATCTTGGCTATTGTAAATAATGCAGCAGTAAACATAGGGGTGTATATATCTTTTTGAATCAGGAATTTTTCAAATTACTAGAAGTGATATTACTGGGTTTTATGGTATTTCTATTTGTAGTTTCTTGAGGAACCTTCATGCTGCTTTCCACAGTGCCTATACCAATTCACATTCCCACCAACAGTGTAGAAGCGTTTCCATTTCTCTGCATTCTCACCAACACTTGTTATTTCTTGCCTTTTGGATAGTGGCCATCCTAACTGGTGTGAGGTGATATCTCATTGTGGTTTTGATTTGCATTTCCCTAATGGTGTTTAGTGATGTGGAGCATCCTTACATGTGACTGTTGGCCATCTGTATTTCTTCTTTGGAGAAATATCTGTTCAGGTCCTCCACCCATTTTTTAATTGGGTTATTTTTTTTTGGGGTGTTGAGTTGTATGAGTTCTTTATATATTTTGGAGGTTAACCCCTTAATGGATAAATCGTTTATGAATATATTCTCCTGTACTGGAGGGGTGCCTTTTTTATTCTGTTGATGGTGTCTTTTGCTTTACAGAGGTTTTTAGTTTGATGTAGTCCCACTTGTTCATTTTTTATTTTGTTTTCCTTACCTGAGGAGATGTGTCCAGGAAAAAATTACTCCTGTTTATGTTGGTACTGGTGAAGTTTTATGGAAAAGTTGTCTCCTATATTATAGTCCACCAGATGTTAAGGCATACTTTCAATCTCTTGAGTACTTACAAAGACCTTAAAAACAATGTCCTTTGATGGGTGGTGAAGAAAAGTAGCCTGCAAAGATAAACACTGGGGATAATATAAGAATAAGGAAGGAAACAGCAGGCAATCCCCCCAAAAGAATTTCCATATGTAACTTTCACAGCATAGGTTTCTTATCATTGTGCTACACACAATGAAGATGAAAGATGGTATAAATATTAAAAATGTCAAGGCAATTTTTAGGTGAAATTCCATAATATCCCTGTACTTCAAATGTCTTTGCTGATCGAATAGTATTTGGGGCCTACATCAGTTATACCTTTGAACTAAAATCCTTCTTACTTATTAATACATATTTAGGAAGTCTGTACATAGTTGATGTGTATGTATCATCATATGTATATGTATGTGTGCATATATATTGGATAGAAAGAATAAGCAGGATGAGTAAATTATTTGGTGATTTCTAAACAATATCTTTATTCCCTTTAAGCCCCCTCTCTAAAAATCACTGAACATTTTCCTTATCCCTTGAATATGTTTTTCAGTATTATTTACTAAAGCATGTATGTATATATGTGTATACACTCTGAAACATTGAAGGATAGGCAGAATGGGCCACAGCTCATTGCTGTGCGGGGTGGTTCCACTCTTTGCAGCATTGCTGGTGGTCCTGCCTTCTGTCCTGTGTCAACTGTGTTCTCCAAATGTTGTGACAACTACAAGCTCCCAACACATTCACAAAACTTCCTCTAGGGGGTGGTACCACCCTGCTGAGAATTCCTACATTTGGCAGAGAGAAATGGAGGAGACATTCAGCCAGGCTGAAAAGACAGACAGAGCCTGAATGTGCTTCTGCTCAGTTATAAAGTGAGTGTGGTTTAACTATTGTCCAAAGCATAAAGAGGAAGATTAGATTCATTGATTGATTCAGCAAATGTTACCAGGTACCCACTGTGTGCCTGGCACTATTTTGGCAGGGGTGCCATATAAACTGTCTCCAATGTCTCCTACTTTTCTTGTTTCAGCACCCATTTGTCAAGAGTGCCAAAGGAGTGTCGATACTGAGGGACTTAATTAACGAAGCCATGGATGTGAAACTGAAACGCCAGGAAGCCCAGCAACGGGAGGTGGACCAGGATGATGACGAGAACTCGGTGAGTGGCAGCATTGCTGTGGCCTTTGGGCACTAATGCTTGTCATTTCACGATGGCCATGCTGGGTCAGATGAGTAGGAGACACTGGATCAGCCTGGAGCAGAAGTCTCTTGCTCGATTATGTCCTGGCTAAAGCCTTGCTGAATCCATGCTTGTTCTTTCCACAGTGCTTCCTAAGACACTTCCAAGTTTTACTCTTTTGCCCCAATAGTATTTATTCAGCTTAACTTCTTATTCAGGAAAGAGAATGCTCAGGTCTGAGACTTGGGTTTTCCATGCCTTTAAGTAGATTTCATACTTACCAGATTCCCTCAGAAACCTAACATTCCACGATTGCACATCTCAGCTCCTTAGATCTGTGTTGCAAAATTATTAAGGAGAGAAGAAGGGGAGGGAGAGGTAGAGGGCCCTGTAGGATTCTATGTACTACTCTTAGTGTGGGCACATTTATGATCTTTAGTTAAATTAGAGTACTCTCAGTTCTGTAAGGTAGGTTCAGGACCTGAATACATGTCAGACCCAGAAATATTAGCACCAAGATGAGTAATTCAGAAAACTCAAAAATTTTTGGATCATATTAGCCCTAATTTGAGATTTTGTCCATTTACAGGAAGAGGATGAAATGGACTCCGGCACAATGGTTCGAGCAGCAGGTGATGAGATGGGCACTGTCCGAGTAGCCAGCACCATGAGTGACGGAGCCAATACCATGATTGAGCACGATGACACATTGCCGTCACAGCTGGGCACCATGGTGATTAATGCAGAGGACGAGGGAGAGGAGGGGACGATGAAAAGTAAGACTGATTAAATACAGTAACTTCTCAGACAAACCATACACATTCCAGAGAAAACATGTTCTCATGGTCCACAACCAGAGGAGTAAAAACATTAGAGGGTGGTGACGGGGTGGGGGTTTTGGGGAGAAGGAATGCTGGCAAGTGGAGGTAGAAGCCAGAAAGCATCAACAATGAGAGGGACTTACTTTTGAACCCCAGCAGCTGTTCTCTCTCAGTTCTCTCAGTTCCTCCCTCACCTGTAGGGACAAGCACTTAACGTTGTTTTGATGACTGATTCAAAGTGTAATGAACTTCCGAGCTGTTTATTGTACCTACCTTCCATCTGTTTTCATGCTACACTGTGTGTCTAACCCAAGTTTACCAATATACAGTCAATCTGTTAAGGATGACTGTGCAGATTTAAAAGTCCTTTCAAATCCCTTCTAGTTTAAACCCATCTCTGCTGCTTTTCTTATCCTTTTTGCCTGTGACAAGGCCTAACGCCTGTGATCAGCTCCTGTGGCAGAGTGCCATCCTCTCCTCTCCTCTTCAGTTTTCTCCCTTGCCCTTTCTCTGTGTGTTAACAGACAGACTCACAGAGGAAAGAAATTTGGGGATACAAAATGGGAATAATTGAGTTGTACATGTACAATTTAGCCTAAACTTTGCATAGGTTTTAAAGCACCTAAATACATACGACCTTTTCATCATCTTTTTTTTTCTCTTCTTTTTTAAAATTAAAAGGTCCTCCCTTTAAACCAAGGGTTGGCAAACTATGGCCCCCAGACCAAATCCAGCCACCACCTGTTTTTGGCAGTAAAGTTCTCTTGGAACACAGCCACGTACATTCATTTACATACCGTCTAGCACTGTTCTTGTGCTGCAGAGGCATGGTTGAGCAGTTGTGACAGAGACCATATGGCCCCCAAAGCCTGAAAAGTTTGCTTCCTGGTCCTTTACAGACACAAAAGGTTCCCTAACCCCTGCTCTAGACCCTCTGCTTTGTTACTGATGAATTCATCTCAGGTACTTTGCTAGGTGCCGAGGATGCAGCAAGGAATGAAGAAACAGTCCTTGCCATGAAAGAACTCATTGTCTAGCGTGGGGGACAGATCATTAATTATAATTCAGTGTATGAAATGAGTTCTAAAATAGAGGTAATCTAGGGTGTTGTCAAAGCAGAGTGGGAGAGGACTTAATCTAGGCTGGGGATTACTTAAGACTTCCTGGAGGGAAAAGGCAGGAAGGTTGGCAGTGAGCAGGGTAGGCGAAGATGTCCAGCAGGGGGAGCAGTGTGCGCCAAGTCCTAGGGGCAGGAGGAGGTAGATGAGTCCCGGGGAACTGCCTCCCAGTCTTGTGAGCAGAACCAACAGTTCTGGGGCTCTGGCTCTCAGGCAGTTCCCTTTAATTGTTCCCTTTCAGATCTGTGTATTTATAATCAACCCTTTGTTTTTTAAAGGAAAGGTTTTCTTTTTCTCTTTTTTCTGTTTTGGAACCAAGTCTCATTATCTGTGTTTGGCTTCTGGTCAGAATTACACAGATGGTGAAAGACTAGTAATACTGTTGATAGATGTGTGAATCAGCATAACTTCTCTGGAATGCAGTACGCATCAAGAGTTTAAAAAGTTGAAACCTAAATTCCACTTCAAGGAATCTGGTCCAAGAAAGTAATTGAAGATACAGACAAATTATATTCAGAGTTTTTCTAAACGTGTTGCTTACAATTGTAGAAAAAAAAAATCTGGACTAATTTAAATGTTTAGTAGCAGATAAATTGGTCAAATAAATTTTGATACATTCATAGGATGGAATACTGTACAAAAATATTCAAAGTCCTGTTTTTAAAAAAGCAGGAATCAGAATTATAGCATGACCCCAGTTTTACAAAATTAAAGAGATAAACTAACATGTTAATATATGCATAGATAAAAGACTGAAAAACAACAATTAAAAGGCTGAAAGGAAATAAATATTAAAAGTAGTTATTGGTAATGGGATTATAGGTATTTAAAACTTTATTTTCCAAATTATTTTCTGGAGTTATTATCAAGAAAAAAAATCCCACCAAAAATATTGCTGATGTCCTAGGTGTCCTGCAAATTAGACCTCTGAACTCTGAATTACCTTACAAACCCTTTTTCCCCTCCCTTTTGCCTCTTAACTGTTTTTTATGGTCTTAAAAGTGTATATTTACAAAGAGTTTATAGAAACATTGTCACTTCCTGCTAGTCTTCTTAAATTCTTATCTTATTCAGTGTTCTTAGGGTGTTTCATCCCCTGAACTCAAGATGGAAACACCCTAGATATATTGTATTTGGTGTTACATAAATCCAGTGTTATCCAGTGAATGCTATGTACTAAATTAAGTTTTCTTTGTTTCTTTTTTAAGTAGCGCAATGTGATTTGTTTTGTAGTAATGAGCTGCTGACCTGTAGTTCATTTCATTGACTCTGAGTGTTAATATCTTCTACTTGTTTTAAGGACTTTAATTATGCAGATGATTATAATCACTGTGTAATATAACTAGGCTGACCCAATATTATGTGTTGTGCATACACATGTTATGGGAAAGCTGTTATTTTTTTATTTAAATTATTAATTTTATTCCAAATATAATTTTCATATTTAAAGCGCTAATTAATTCAATGGGTTGTTTGTTCAGTTTCTAAGCTTGGATAGTTTTAGCATGTCTAATGAGAAACATGCATCTTTTATTACAGTCATGATGGAAAAAACGTTTAAAAACCACAACAGTCACAGCTGAGTGACATTAAGTAAACCCAGTTCACCATCTGCTGCAAGTCTTATAATTCAGTTTTTGGGCCACAAGTTTGACAGATTTTCCACTTATTTTGAGATCTTTATCCCTTATTGTTTTTTAGGAGTTATTTAAACTTTTCATTATAGAAACTTAAAACATATACAGAGTTTCACAGAATAATATAATGACCCCAAGGGACCTATCACCCAGTTTTAAATATGATTAACTCACTGCCTACTATATTTCAGGCCCCACAAAAAAAATGACAAACTGAATTAATTTAAAGCAAATCTCAGACATAATATCATTTCTTCAGAATTGATTTTTAAACAACTGAGAGAGACTGACCAAACCTAGCTCAGATACTATCTATTGTGTTGGCTAATTCACTTTCCTTGTATGGACCTCAGTACCCTGATCAGTGAAATTAAAGAATTCTTAAACGTATTTATTTTCCTTGTCCCTTAAAATTCTAATGGCCCACATATTTATAAAAATCATATAACTCATAACTAATATAGAACTGAAGTTTTAACAATGTATTTTACAGTATCTTTTAGATCAATGCATTATCTTGAATTCCTTTGGTCTAATTTCTGCTGTTTATTGTACCTGCTATCCCTCATGATGATTTCTTCTTATGCTTTGTAATTTTTGTTTGTGAGCTTATCTTTTATGGGAGGTCTCTTGCTTTCCTTAGGTTGCGTAGGTATCCTTGTGGGCCCTAAAGGGTATTTCTCTCCAGTACAGCCTTTAGATTACTTCTCATTTCTGTAGTGCGCTTGTGGTACACCCAAGGGAATTATATTTCTACAAAGTGGCTCCATCCCTTACAAAGGCAGACGCCACTCTTAAGCCATTTCCTTGAGCTTGTGGGTAGAGTTTGTCTTGGCTTCTATGTTGCTCTGGGAATTGAGTTCTAGCTCCCTCTTTATAGATGTGTCTTGGCCCCTGTCTTTATCCTGATTCCTGATCCTGTTCCCACATAAGCCTTAAAACTAGTCTCTATTGTTTGGGTTCCTTTTCTGCTTTTGCCATCTGCAGACTTCCCTGCCCTGGTTTTGAGAACTACAGTGTTTTTGTTTCACTTTGTTTTATTTTATAAGTCTTGAATTTCTGTGTGTTCAAAGCAGTGGGTGGGGAATCTCTAGTGCTTCAGCTCATTTAGTTATCTCGACTTGTCTACAGCAATGATGTATCTGCATTTTATCTGTAAGGGAAACAGGTTCAGAGAGGTTGTTACTAGCTCGTGGTCACATGGCCTAGTAAGTGCTGAAGCTGGAAAGTGAAAGAATTCTTAGAGTCTATGCTCTCTCCTTTCTACTAAACTTCTGATTTGTTTTGGAAACCTACCTTTATGTTGATGAGCATTAAATCCACAATATGAAACTCATCAAAATTCATGTTAAGACTGGTGCTGGCCTCTGAGGAGATTCCAAGGATAACCTTTTATTTTTGATAAACAATTATTTAATACATATAAATTATTTATTTATTATACTCAATAGTATGGACATTGTAACTGTTAATATATTCATTAATGATTAAGGATTAAGTGTTTAATCCTTCATAAGCATTTAATGTATCTTAATCATTACAACCATACTGTGTAGTAAATACAGCCACTCCCCATTTTATAGCAGGAGAAACTGAATTGCAAAGAGATTAAGTAACTTCTAGTGATTACATGATGAGTAATAGAAGAGCCAAGAGTTGAAACTAGGATAAATTTGATTTCAGTGCTCATGCTCTCAGCCATTACATTATTCTTCTCCTTGGAAAAGGCCCCTTATGAGGTTGTTAAGGGACAGGACTAAAGCTCATGTAGCATACAGGTGTTGGTAAGCCTCGGCCTGCAGTGATACAACTTTTCTTGCTGGTTGTTTAAATAACCAGCTATTCTACATGTTTCCTCAGATTTCCAGAAGTGCAGGGAAGATGGTTTTCAAAGGGGGCTGGCCTGCTTCTGATGATAAGTTAATAGTGTTGTTATATCTAAGGGAGTATGTTTTGATTATATATATATATCTGAATCTACAGTAAAGAATCAAATTGTATTTGGAGGGCGGAGATTGGAGTGGGGTGAGATTCGGTTACTTTCTAAGAGACCTCAAGGTCACCTGTAAGAACATGCAGGTAAACCACGGCCCACACCACTTTGAAAACCCTTATCATGATAAAGTGTCAGTTTGAGGATTTTGGAAGACTTCTATTTGTCTATATAAGTGGATATTTTTGTTTTGTTTTGTTCGGTTTG